TAAGTAACAGAGCATTAATACTATGATTTTAGACAGAAATCTGAGAAAATAAATGATATGGACATTATTTTTACTTGGCATAATGAGAGGGGTGAAATTATGTCAAAAATGTATAACACTGCACCCCTATTACATTTTCTTTCATATCTTCAAAAGTTGTCATTCAATCCTGAAATTTCAAGCACCAAAATAATTTGTAAAATAAATTCTAAAGTCTGATAATGATCATTGGCATGAAAATTTATGATATATAACAATAATTTCAATAGAAAAGTGGTGTAATTTCAAAGCGCAACCGCATAACGCTGAAAAGGGGTCATTTTTGGGGTACATTTATTGCATTTACTTAAATTCTGTTAAAGTTAGATCAACAAAATTTTGCACACAAGTCCTTTATAAGTATGCCTATAAATGAATTATGATAAATAACATGTAAAGAAGTTAACATTTCTAAAAATCGTGTATAACAATGTGGTATTCTTAATGCACCCTATATTGTGTTTCACCCGAAAACAAGTGATGCTTTGCGTCATATTGCATAAAGTTAAGATATAATAAACTGTAAACTCTGCAGTAAAATGTCGGCAACTACAAATTTCAAACAAGCTAGTCCAAAGAAATATAATTTTAGATTGCAGTTAAATGTTATTAAATAATATATGAGACATAGAATTGTATTTTATTTACCTCAAAACCGGTAGGCCAGTGGATGAGGTATAGATCCACATATTGACATTTAAGCCTATTCAGAGATTTGAAGAAATTTTCACGAATATTTGCTGGATTGTGGTGCGTATTCCAAAGCTGAAAGAAAGTAAAATTATTTATAATCACATTTATGTGCATTATGGTAAAACATTAATGAAAAAATCTGAAAATTCAATTTTTTAAAAAAAATCAAAATGATGACCATGTGTTAAATCTGAAAGGACATGATCTTAATATTGATGTAAATACCTTGGTCGCGACGAAAAGATCTTCCCTTTTCACGACACCCTCCTTGATTTTCTCATTTATAGCTTGACCAACTGACACCTCATTCTGGTATGCATAAGCGCAATCTATACTTCTATAACCACAATCAATAGCGCACTTCACAGCCTCATACACTTCATCATTACTTCCCTACGATTAACAAGTGCACTGTACATACAAAAAATACTTCAGTGTGTTCTATACTATTGAGTGAAAACGTTTTTTTACAAAAATTCGTACATAAATCCATTAGAAAAAATTTCCTTCTTTTAATCAACAAAAAGCAATTTACCCTTTGCTCGAAGATGTTGAACGTCCCGAGTCCAATCATTGGAAATCCACGAGTTCCAGTAATTGGAATAACGGGAACTTTTTCAGTCGCCATGCTACACTAGATCGTAATGGACAACAGAGATTTGGGCGCCGTTAGACTAATTGTGTAGGAGTGTGCTGTCCACTCCGTCAAGGTCAGGCTAAGGTAAAAGGATTATCTGACTACACGTATGTACGTTTCGTTGGCAGAAAATATTTGCGAGGCATGGAATTAGATTTCCGATATCCTGATTTTGATAAGGTCAATTGTCCTAGCAGCTAAACTCAAGTTCACATGGAATGTCCGAAGAAAAAGTCATGTTTGTGAATGTGTAAATAAAAATACATGTATTTAAATAAAACATCGACATTTATTTACAAATTGCAAAACAAGATATACATGAACATGAAACAAAGAGAGAGATGAAGAGGTAAGGCGAAAGGATCTTTTTTTTAATCTTTAAAGCTAAGGTGAAAGTGGTCATTCCTCTTAAGAATAGGTCATGATGACATTCAATGTTGTCAGTTTTGATAACTTTCTGTGAATAAAGAGTGTATATTCTTACAGAAATATTCATTGTTATACCCCCCGCTTGAAAAGCGGGAAGGTATATCCGTCCGTCCGTCCGTCTGTTAAAACTTCTCATACCACTGAATGAAATTTGATGAAACTTTCACAGAATCTTTATTACATATTGCCATTGTATATATTTTTGATCCGACACATATTTTGGGTTTCCCGGCCATATTTTTCATTATAACCATATAGGAAGCGGGGGTATCATTTAGTGAGCTCATCGCTCACAGTACCTCTAGTTTATACTGTCTATTTATCATCTTCCTATGCCAAGAAATATATTTTTACCAATTCTATATGAAAATATTTGAATCTGTTAGATTGGTGCTGGATTAAATCAGACCAACCCGGGGCTCTATCATTGTGTTTAGAACTTTAACTTATATGATCCAATACTGTAATTCCTGTCGATCTCTATACAATAAGCTGAAATTCAAGACTGTAAAAAAACGTCAAGTTCAACTGCACATGTCGTTATTTTTTTTCTAAATTAGAATGACAATAAATTGAAAACTCCAAAATTGATACAGTTAGTTTTGAAAATTAAGTTATTTTAACCTTACCTGACTAGATTTAGATTAATATTATCTAAGGTACATAGAAGAGGTGGGGTTAATCTTGTCCCCTCTTTTACTGAACGTTACAAATCAACCCTTTCAAAATCGATGCATAGCATTTATCATTCTACAGCACTTCACAAATAATCAAGATATAAAACTGGTTATGCTTGTATATTGCTTCCTTGAAATTATGTAACCTGTAGTACCAGCTATTAAAATGGTATTGCAAGGTTAAAGTTTGTTCAAAAGTTGGTCAAACTTCAAGGACGGTCAAAAGTTAAAAAATATTTGTACCGAAGAAAAGGGTCCTTTTTATAGAAGAACGGCTAATTTCACTGTTTTCACAATACTTAAAAATACAGTAAGACAAAACCCGCTTTTGTCAAAAATAATTAAGGAAGTGTGTATGTTTCTTTTTTATGCTCGCACAAGTAAACAAATCCTATCATAATTATGCTGCTCAACACACTTTTTAAACTAACATGGTTTTTCGAACAAATTAAGGTAACATTTTACTTGCAATAAATTTTTAATTGTCGAGCTTCAGTACAAGAAATAACCCTTATATTATTAAATATTTCACGATAAAGGTGCATATTCTTAAAAATCATTATCTGAAGTTTTAAAACTCGATGTTTTGAAGGGAATTTGTTTGTACACATTTATGACGTTATATGTATATGATTCTACCATAGGTATTCACAAATTAATTAATCAACCTTTCCTTGATGCTATTTAGTTGATATGTTCAAATTGACTTCTTACATATAATAGCTTTGCACATTTCCCATACTTGTCTTGGTTTTGTCGAAATGCAGCGCTGAAAAATGACAAAGCTGCATAAAGAAATCATGTGGTAGGATTGGATAATAAAGTATTGTTTATCTTTCTATTCTAGTCTAAATACTATGTGTATGACTTTTTTTATATTCTATTTTTAGGGATGTGGCATTTTTGGATGTTTAACAAAGATTGAATTAGATTTGTGCTTTTTTACATATGTTTTATTGCATAATACTTTGTCATTTAATAAATAACCAAATGACTATTCTAATTGTTAACAATTAGTTGTGTTTTCTTGTGTCAAACTGAGCACCATCCTAGCAGTTATCCATAAAAAGTATTGTTTATCTTCAACTTAGTAAATTGTTACTATTAAAAAGAAAATTCTTTTACATTTATGGTCTGAAATTTTTCATTGGAAGGTATCTTTCATGATGCTATATTTCAGAAAGTTAATCAGGAAAAATACCATCTTTTTAACATGGAAAACATCTTGCGCATTATTGTCATATTAATGTACAGAAAATACAAAAGTTACATGAACTGCACTCTGTCTGTTTCTACATCTAGGCAGGGCAAAGGTATGCTTTAAAGTGAACGGATACAAAGACAGCTGTATTTGACGAGAAACCATGAAAAATCATTTGGGAACTGCCATAATCTATCGGCCAAGAGCATTTAAAATCCTACTAATTATTATGTGTGAATTATGTTTAAAATAATGGAATAAGATCAAAATGAACTTATAAATCACTTTAAAATATATTGTTGTCACTTTATATAATTTTGCATTATAACAATTTGACCTTAATTTGTGCGAAAAACCATGCGAGTTTAAAAAGTGCAATGAGCTGTATATGCATTTTCTGCATGATTTGTTTGACAAACTGTTATATTTAAATAATAGACAAATGTACCTTATTTCATCTAAATCCCTTATTCTAATACCATCACATCCGTACTGTGTGCATGTAAAAGTAACCCAATTATGAACACTATATATACGTATAAAACATTTTAATTGACACATTCTTTGCATGCGAACTAATTAGATACATACATTTAATATGTAGTACAATCATTCTTATAAATATATGTGCATGTATGCTAGAAGACAAGTACTGAATTAATTGATGACCCTTGGTGGAAAGAGTCATGGCAAAGCATTCATTATTCGTTGTCAAATGGGTAATACTTATGGCCTTTCGCGCTGTGAAAAACAAAAAAAAAAAACATTCAAAAATTAAAATTGAACATCAGTATTTTGATTATGTCAAAGCAACAGTATTATAAAGCTATTATTTATAATCTCTTAAATCGAATACTGAGTAGTATATATTTTTTTAAAACAATTTTTTAAAGCTTTAATAGAAAATTTAAAATAAATGAAATGTTGAGAAGTATTTATTTATATTCGTACTTTTTGAATGATTTAAGAGAACATTTATTCAAATTATTTTATTACTTTATACATTTAATGTAAATATTATATAATATATAACGTTCGTACATGCTCTCGGCGTAGAATCTCTTTCCCCTGTCCAATCCCCAAAGGGCTTTCATTTCGTCATCGGTTAATTCAAAATCCAATATCTATGAAAAGAAAATCAAATAATTGGCACAGCCCTGGCAGATCAACCTATACAAAGTACTCAAGATAGATTATAAAAATTATTTTGTATTAGAGAATCATTGGATGGCTGGTACGTGCGTTTTGATTCGTATACAAAAATTAAATTTGCTGTAGCAAAGTTCTCTCTACAGGAAAACAACTGCATCCTCTAAGAACCTACATCAAAATTCTCCTTGATCCTTTGTGGAGTCACACTTTTTGGGATGACAATAATGTTTCGTTGTAGGAGAAATCTTAGGCATACCTAGTAAAAACAGAATTTTAGATAATATTTAGAAAGACTGCAAGAAACAAATTGAACAGTTTACTTTATAGGTAATCTACTATACGGAGTTAACAAAAAATCTTGGAGTTTAATGAGATAAAAGATATTTGAAAATTTACTTGTGCAATTGTTTTTTTCTTCCTCTGTGCGATTTCTTTTAAAACAGGTTCATCAAAGATAATTGGATCTTTACTGTCCGCCCTGAAAAATAACTAAAATATGAAACTTGACACCACATTTTAAAAGTAAGGCAGCCTTTTATTGAGATTTTTTTTAAGAGTGAAATAAATGTTGTATCGTATTTGCCTTAATGAAGGCTAATCAAAATTTCTATTAAAAGTTACTATTTAAATAAAAACACGCGTAAAATAAGTTTTATATACAAATTCAAAATAATATCATTTGATAAAACATGTCTTAAAAATATTAATAAATTAATATTCGGCAATGCAATTAAACAATCCATAATTATAGAAACGCTGTTCACTTTTTCGTAGCTTTATAATGTAAACGGAAAGAAACTGGTGGGTTACCACAAGAGAAAATTCGAGAATCCTATAATAACATTATCGTCAAATAACTAGCATAACACACACACACAAAAAATAATTAAATAATTCATTCGATATTTCTCTTTCAAACATGTTTGTTTTTATTTTTACCAAGTTCTGTTCGGGTTTCCAAGCGGTGCATAGGCGGTTACCGATATTCCTTTTGAAGAACAAAAGTCAATCAGTTTCTTGTTAGAAAGATATGGATGGACCTCAATCTGAATAAAAATTTTAAAATAGAATTATGTTTTAAATAAAATTTATGGATATTACATATTTGTGTTTACAGGTGTGTATGGTTTGTGGAAATTGTATACTAGTAGTACTAGTGTATTAAATATTTTTATATTGGTACATGTAGAATTTGTATTGCTTTTTTACGGGCTTGAATCAAAAAGCAGTTTTGCCTATTTACCTGAAGATTGGCTGGTTTAATCCGGCAGTTTTGTAGGACACGTTCAATTTGGCTTATGTTGAAATTAGAAAGTCCTATTGCTTTCACCAAACCTTCATCAACCAGCTTTTCCATTTCCTTGAAAAATATTGTTTCATATATAGATTAGCTTTAAAAGAATGATTAACAAAATACAGATAATTTTTATTAGATGAATAGAAGTTAATGTTTCCAAGACGATAAAAGAAAAAACTCTCTGATATTTATGGTTTCTGAACTACATTTTGATAATCTTTAAAGGTTTAAAATTGATAAAATTATTTCTTTTGCTATAAAACACATTTTAAAATGTTATTATATATTCCAGAAGTAATGTTAAATAAAATGTTTTTAACATTTTTATAATTATCAAAGTGTTACCTATTGAAAATATAAATTTTTATGTAAAAACGAATTTTAACTTTTAAAGCTACGTATATTCAACATATAATTCACTTGTGAGTGCATGTTCAAAAATTTCTCAAAGTAATTAAATTAATTCCCAAAAAGAAACTATATAAGGTTTCAGTGTTAATAATTTCTTTAAAACCCCTTCGTATGTACACTGAAAAGTTCTGTCCATGCTCAAAAACGTGGTCCAGGCGGTCACATGACATGCTCCGAAGAGCAGTGTTTACATATTCAGTTAAAATATTTTTTCAAGTTTTATGTTTTCTGCCTTATTGGTTATTTTTATCATTTAGAATAATCCATTTGTCACAAATGACCAAATCCTGGAAATAGAAAGATTTCCTTTTCCAGAATGAGCATACAATCCGATTTCGAATTTCTGTCATGGGTGTGTCGTTTATGCCTTATGGATCAAGTATGGCTGTCGTATTTTTGTCATATCTGATATGTTTTAATTTTAAAGTAAAATATGTATAAGGAATTTAATATATTGACCTCATAAACATAAATTAAAATATGTAACATGTAACATCTGTTATTCATAAAACGTGTACCAAATTTCATTCTGGTAAGTTGGCTCTGTAAATAAAACCTTTACAAATTTTTATGTACCACCTTTTAATACATTTATGTTGTGCATTTTTGTTTTAAAATATAGATATATTCGTAAGGTATGTCACTCGTGCTTTGAGTTATATGAAAGTTTTTGAAAATTTATTTTAGATAACAACCCATAGATCATGGCGCAAAAAAGCAAAGAAAATTGTTCTGTTCCCAATTGATATTGCTTCGATGGACTTTTGAGATCGATAACCATTTGTTAGCTTCCTATTCCATGCTACCTCTATATGTTTAAATTCGTTTGATTAAAACTGAAACACTACTTCTACCCAGACTCCAGACAAGAGAACGAAATGTGTACAGTGCGTCATAATAGGCATTCACATCTTACCTTCCATACGTCCAAGTAATCATGGTCAGAAAATCTCGCCTTTCCATCGTCTCCCATTGGAAAACACACATCCCCATCCTGGATGATATGACATTGAGTATACAAAAATTTCAAGAATTTGTTTGGAAAAAAAAAGAAACAAAACAAGTGAAGGGATAATCTCTGTGGTCAAATATTTGAACACTTAGCTTTTAATTATAAAGCTAAAGGTTGCTGTCCACAATTTACAAATTTAAACAATTTACTCTAAAATAAAAATGCCGTTTTTTTAACTTGAACATTTAGTATATATTATATATACAAAATTATAAGTGGATTGAGTAGTAGGCATAGCCTAAATAAGCCCTTTTGATGAATACAAGGTTCATATAAGACTAACCTCAAAACCGAAAGGCCAGTGGACGAGGTATAGATCCAAATATCCACAATTAAGCTTGTTTAGAGATTTAAAGAAATTTTCTCGAATATGTGCTGGGTTGTGGTGCGTATCCCAGAGCTGAAACAAAATAAAACTATATTTAGCATCACATCAATGTGCATCATAGTAAAACTTACAAGAAAGAAATTGAAAATTCAAAGAAAAAAAACATCACCTGAACAAATAAGGTGTAAAATCACACTTCAAATTCTTGTACTGATTTTAAATACCTTTGTAGTGATGAACAGATCTTCCCTTTTCACAACACCCTCCTTAATTTTGTCATTAATAGCTTGACCAACTGACTCCTCATTCTGGTATACATAAGCGCAATCTATGCTTCTATAACCACAATCAATAGCGCACTTCACAGCCTCATACACTTCATCGTTACTTCCCTAAAATTAACACGTGCTCTGTACATATATCTAAATGCTGATAAAAATACTCTTGTGTTTCCTGCAGCTGAGAGAACACGTATTTACTGTAAAATCTTTCCATTGATAAAATAAATAAAACTCGAAAGTTATCTTTATCCACCATAATTTTTACCTCCAAAAGGCAACTTACTCTTTTCTCGAAGATGGTAAACGTCCCAAGTCCTATCATAGGATATCCACGAGTTCCTGTGATTGGAACAACGGGAACTTTTTCAGCCGCCATGCTGCACTTTTAAAGTCGTAATGGACAACCGAGATTGGGCGCCTAAAGACCTGTAGTGTAAGAGATAGTTGTCCACTCTATTAAGGTCACACTAACTTGAAAGGATTATATCACTTTCAATTCTACTACACGTGTGTTCGTTTTGTTGGCAGAATATCTTCAAATATTTGCGAAGCATGAAGTTAGATTTCTGATATCGCGATCTTTGTAAACATTGATAACATGGATAAAGCCAATTGTCCGAGCAGGGAAAGTTAAGTTCACATTGAACTGTCCGGAAAACAATTAAGTTTTTCGGATGTGTTAATGTAAATATTTAACTGAAATAGCCATTTGTTTCCAAAATGCACACGCAAGATATACTGCACGTGTAAGATATACTTGGAGAGAGGGAGGCAAAGCTAGGGAGAAAGAGAGTGAGGGCGGATCTTTACACTTATGGTGAAAGTGTCTCATATTTCTTCCAAGTAGGTCATTAATTGTAACGTTCAAGGATGTAACTTTTGATTCCTTTACTGTGAAGTGAATTTTGACAGATTAAATGTTTCCTTTTTGTCAAATTCCATTGCCAGAAAACATGTTTTACCTAGTAGTAAATAATATTCTCTTTCTGAAAATATTCAAATCTATTAGATTGGTGCTGAAATAGATAAGGCAAACCCAGAGATCTATCAATAAATAATTTCATTGCGATTAAGCGTTTATTACTTTCACACGTACTTGATTATATCGTACATGTATAATTGAATGATTCCTATTATCTCTGATAAGCAGAATTAAGATTTTTCGTTACTGTCACCTGCAATTAAGACCTTCCAGGTAGACTCAAAGATTTATTTTGTTTTCTGAATGACTAAAAATATACATTGAAAAATTTCCTTAATTTCCATGCTTACAATTAGTTAGACTTCCACTCAGATAAATATAACATCAAATTTAAGGTACGTGTACATAGAACGGGGAGGGAAATTGCAAACCACCCCCAACTTTTTAAATGAACGATTTTCTTTCCCATTTTTAAAATAAGCATTTATTATTCCCCTAAAAATAGAAAAGGAACAGACTAAAAGTTTATCCTTATTTTCGACAAAAGGTGTACAAATATCGAAAGAGCTTTATAAGTATATATTATATAACTTTGTGAAATCCTGTAATCTGATTGGTCAATACTAAGTAATTATTTTTAAATAACGACCGCTGAAAGCAAATAATGACTCGAACCAGTCGAGCTGCCTCGTTTTCATTTTCGCTTTCGACAACGTTTTAACTTGTAGGTGACATAAAAATAGTGAAGAACTCCCTGAGAATATAAAACAATTAAAATATCTGAACATTTTTTCGTATTCCAATTTTGACTTTTTCCAAAAGGTTTTGACGCTGTATCCGCGATTACGGAGACTAAAGAATATAAAGACGAGCGTGCCATATATGGTTGTATCTTATCGTAGAAAAAATATGTATTTACATTTTGTCAGTGCATATAATTTCCTCTGTAAGTGTAAACGAGTGCGATTCTCAATCTGGGGAAGGGGGTACCATGTGTTATTCGGAGAGAGATATCTTGCATTATTATGATATGGGCTAAAAATTAGTACCGAAACAGGTCCTTCTGAGTAACATTCAATTAAATCTGAAACATTTACATTCAACTTATTTATGGTAATAACACTGTAAACATTAGTTACGTTTAAATTAATTTGAAAATGTAACTTATATAATAATAAATATGACATGCATCATTTATTGAAAAAAATTATACTGAGTTTCACATTTTATTAGAAAATATAAACTATATCGGCAAACTAGTACAAACTACAATGAGTCAATATTTGTATAATATTTAACTTTAATAGACAAGTAAAACATGAATGATTTATGAATTAGTGACATGCATCATTTATTTTAAAAAATAATACTGACTGAGTATCACATTTTATTAGAAAATGTAAACTATATCGTCATCTACATTACACTAGTACAATGTGTATAAAAATGATTCGAGTAAAAATTCTTACAAAACAAACAAACAAAGAAAACACAAAGAATACAAAAAATAAATATTCATTAAATGTTCATTAAACATTGACAGAAAGATGATGCGAAGATTCCTTTCAGCTCTATCTATAGACATCGATGCACCAATAGCCGAGTTGAATGATATTGTCTTCAATATTCATCGTCAAAAGGGTAATACTTATGGCCTCTGCATTTAACTCTGTTGAAAAAAAAAATACACACATTCACGTGCATGCTAATCAAACCTTATGACTTGCACCACTTGCATTAATTGCAAAACCATTTAATAGAATAACTGATTGACTGCTTAATGCCTAACCGTCGAATATTGGCAGTATTTCAGCAATGTCTCTCAATAAATTGCAATCAGTAAAGCTAGAGGAATTGCAGATAAGACAAAGTGTCTTATAACTTGTTACGGTGGGCCAACTCCACCAAAATATAACTCTCTAAGACTCTAACCCCCTTTCCAAAGGTGTGGGGCTGGGGATGAGAGTTATACATGTGAAAGCTTATACTATTGCAAGAAATATGCATGTACTAGTATAAGAATTGGTTTGAGCATTCTTACGTGGGTTCTTCTAGAACTCTTGCTCCTTTGTCCAAACTCCAAATGGCTTTCATTTCGTCATCAGACAAATCAAAATCCAGAATCTGCAAGATATGACAAGAATTATTTGGTTTATTTCTCGACAAAAATCTTCAAAAATTGACATAGAAACAATTGCTTAAGCTTCGTGGATAATAATTTCTTTGTGATTTTTGGCATAAGAAATACATGTATGCTGATACGATACTTTATATGTCTCACATCAATATTCTCCTTGATTCTATGTGGAGTCACGCTTTTCGGGATCACAATGATATTTCTCTGATGCAGGAATCGTAGACATACCTTTGAAAAAATAACGCATAATAACCAAATATTTTAAACTTATGAACAGAAATTTAGACACAGAGATTCAAAATCAGTGGATGAGTAAATGATAGTGATGTTCAATCATTCCTGTAATGGTTGATAGAGAATAGGAGAACTTTTTTTTTTACCTGTGCAATTGATTTATTTTTCTTTTTTGCAATATCTTTTAAAATGGGTTCCTCAAAGATGGTATGTTCATTTCCTTTAGCCCTGAAAATGAAAACATGCAATAACAATTCCAAAATTTAAAAACGGAAACTACATATAAATTATTATTACATGAGATGAATTTTTAGTATACCTTTAGTTAGATCAATGGTTTAAATAAAACATTTCCTTATAACAAACCCACAGGCACTGTTTCGGAAATAAATTTTTAACCTATAGTATAATAATTAATACCACAAGTTTTTACCTGTTACGATTGATTTATTTTTTCTTTCAGAGGAAATGAACTGGCAATATTTTTATTACCATTGTCTTCTACGATAAATTAATTTATCTACACAACCATATGCGGCATGCATGTCTTTGTTTTCGTTTTTCTCCGTAAATATCGTCAAAACCATGCTCGCTGAGCCCTGAAAAACCATAAAACGGTATGCAATAAAAACAAAAACAAAAAAAAATTCCAGATTTTAAATATTGCATTGAATAAATAAAATCTGATTATGTCTCATTTTCCATAAAAACACTACCACATATTTTCGATGTAATTTTAGGCGCAGATTTTTAGCCAATCAAAATCTCTGTGCGGGATTAGCACATACCGTTTTATTGTTTAGTTCGACTTTTCCACTCGGCGAGCAGGGTTTTGACGCTGTTTACGGAGATAAACAAAAACAAAGACATGCATGCCGCATATGGTTGTGCAGATAAATTATCGTAGAAGACAATGGTAATAAACATATTGCCAGTTATTTCCTCTGAACAAAAAATCTTTCTGAGGAGTTAAATTAATTAAATAATTAATACTACAAGTTAAAAATTTATTTCCGAAACAAGTGCCTGTGAACAAACCTTAGGGGTTTAGTTAATTGAAAACACGATAACAAAAGAAAAGGTTTGTTAAGTTAGCCAACTCTGGGTCAGCACGAAGATAAAAAATTGGATATAACAGTTCTTTGTACTAAGTATAACAGAAGCAAAAGGCTTCTTTAATCTTTTACCCTTGAGTAACTTGAACAAACTATTAAAAAATTCAATGTACCAAGATCTGTTTGGGTTTCCAAGCGGAGCATAAGCGGTAACTGAAATGTCTTTTGAAAAACAAAAGTCAATCAGTTTCTTGTTTGAAAGGTACGGATGGACTTCAATCTGAATTAAATTGTAGAAATCCGATTTAATTTATATACAGGTATTTACTTGGTATTACACTTAGCTTTCATTTAAAACATGTTTTGTTTACCTGTAGGTTGCATGGTTTAATTCGGCAGTTTTGTAGGACACGCTCGATTTGGCTTTTGTTGAAATTAGAAAGTCCTATTGCTTTCACCAAGCCCTCATCAACCAACTTTTCCATTTCCTTACAATTACAACATGCAAAATAAAAAACCCTGTCTCATATTGAATATTAAAGACAAATACTGAACGACATATTCATACCGGTATATATAAATATACAAAATAATGATTCTTTTCAAATGTTTAATATTCCATGTACATGTATGGTGTAAAATAAATTATTGTCAAATAAATTATAAATTATATATTTCAAATGCAATGAGCAAACTCAGTGAGATATTTTAAAATTTCAGCAATTTGTTTTCCTTTATATAATGAACTTGATTACTTTCACCATACTACCTTACCGTCCATACGTCCATGTAGTCATGATCAGAAAATCTGGCATATCCTTTGTCGTCCATAGGAAAGGTCTCAGTCGCGTCATCCTGGCTCGAAATTAAAAACATTCACTCGTAAACTATCACTCTACCTCACAATAAAAGAAACCAGTGGCCCTTTTCCCCCCCCCAAAAAGCGGTAGGTATAGAAGTCGAATACGTTATTTCGGCCTATTTTTAATAAATAGGAACCATTTTTATGTTCTTGGTGTCGCTATTAAGGTAGTGAATTAAAACAATTAATACTCTTAATTACCTCGAATCCAAAAGGCCAGTGAATAAGATACAAATCAACATATTCACAGTTAAGGTTCTGGTGGGACTTCAAGAAGTTGGCACGTACATGTACAGGGTTGTGGTGAGTATTCCAGAGCTAAATGTATATTTAAAGATAAAAAGAACATCATTCATCAATAAATTTCAAACTTAAAACATAAACCATAATTTTCTTCAGTGATATAATTATATTTAATACTGTACATGTACATGTGTTATTTATAGAGAAAAGTCTGATTTGCTTTTTATTAACTTGAGTCTAGGGATAAAATGTGGGCCAAGGTACATGACTGTATTCAAAAACTTGGACATGCTTGTATCAAATTCATGTTATTGTACATGTCAAGAATAAGATTTCTGGTATTCTTTATATTCAGGTCACATTAAATATTAAGTGTTGACGAATGTGTGCATGGATGTGATGATTGTCCTAATAATAATGAACTGTTATTTTACAATGCATTTAATTTAATTTTAAAAAATACCAAGTATAATAAAATCACTCTATCTTGATATTTGTGACCGTTAAATTTAACCAATTTGAAAATATACATGTTCAATCAATGTAAATTAACTACTTTTAGTTTAGACTACTTGAATGTTTAAATAAATATTTATGATAAATATATTTGAAAAATACCTTGGTTGTGATAAAGACATCTTCTCTTTTCACCACGCCCTCCTTGATTTTTTCATTGATGACTTCGCCAACAATTAATTCGGTTTGGTATGCGTATGCAGTGTCAAAACTCCTATAACCACAGTCAATGGCGATTTTTACAGCCTCTTTTACGTCATCGTTGCTTCCCTAAAATGAGCCAATGCCAGTCGCTGTCTGTTTTAGAAATTCCAAAATTTGATCGAGAGTACAACATAATAATAATATTTAATGTTGTTGCGATTGTTTCTTTAAAAGGAAACCCAACTGTATAGCAGCAAAACTGCAGGTGGCTCTGGGAAAAAATATTGACATACGAACCGGAGAGCTACAGGTATACAGTTTCCTCTCATATACCATAAGCCTTGTGGTTAATTTAATTAACGATAATCAGTGTCGCAATGTACACATTTGTTCGAGGCAAAGTGGTTACAGCGTTGGCTCTAGAGTCGCTGGGTTAGGATTTGATCATTACTTTGTGGGTTCGAATCTCACTTCGGCACTTGGATGCAACGGTCCTTCGGATGAGACCGTATAAACCAAGGCCCCGTTTTTCAGTATCGGTGCTGGCACGAAATAGATCTCTTACTTCTCAATGCCCCTGCGTACCAAGTACAGGTCTAAATCTGCGACCTTTAATAATGAGGTTGAAATTTTTTTTAATTTCATTATAGAATACATGTATTTCAATTCACGTCATGATACAGAGCCTGCTAGGTTTTAGATCTGGCCACTGCTGGAATTAAGAGTGAGCCAGGTTTTAGGTATGCCTTGTTTCATTATATTAAATTTTAATATCTTCCATTCTTTGTGATCTTACCCTTCTCTGAAAGTCATTGAACGTTCCAAGTCCTATCATTGGAATTCCACGAGTTCCTGGTATAGGAACAACAGGTATTTTTTCAGCGGCCATGATACATTATTTAACAGCTCTATGCACAATGACGGTAGTCGAAATTGGGGCACAAAGAGATAAAGAGTGAAGATCGCCGGTATTTTTAGTTACCAAGGTCAAGTCTGTGATCACTGTATAAAGTGTTTCATTAGAACCAACTGGTTATATGGTCAGACGATGATCGAGTGAATTATCCTCATTATCAATTTGCTCAATCATGAAAAAAGGTACGTCAATGATGCATGCATACACACAAGTTACAGCAGCTATAGGGGATAATCTAAATATTATTAAATCTGGACATACGCTCGTTCTATTGTACATTATTCTCTTAACTTTAGAGAAGTGAACAGTTATAGGCTTTCGCATGTACATCCATCATTGTCCACTGTAGGCGAAAGGCTAGCTGTCCACTTCTCGAAAGAGAATATTGTATCAAGTATTTGAACAAATAAAAAAAAATAATATACAGTATTATACTATTGGGGTATTGTATACAATTCATGCAGAATATGTGCCCTGCAAGGCCGTCGATCCTACTGTCCATGGTCCATATGCAGCTACAAGTGGACTTTTCTTTGGAGCTCTGACACTGTCAGTGAGGATATACTAGGTATATATATACACGTAATATATGGGGTGTTGCTAAAACGCGGAACGGAAAACGGAACGGAAAATATTATTTTGGATTAAATCACTTAAAATACACAAATTTTATCAAAAACGATATATCTTGTACATATCCAATCCCCCACTATTAAATACAAGTTGATTTTGTCATAATAAGTCTCTTATTTACGAAAATCGCTAACAGAGCAGTCACCTAGAATAGAATTTGAAAAAGGGGAGGGGGTGGGTAAACGAACTTGAAAAGTATTTGACAAGCAAAAGCAAAAAAAGAAGACAATTGTTTGATTCGGGAGGGGGGATAAGTTCCAACTCCAACATCTTTCAGAACTATTTTTTTACACTAATTTACTACATTAATTACATTCACAAAAAGTGTGAGGATGTCAACTTGAACGAACATTTCCGTAGTAAAAAGGTTATGACTGGGGGAGCAAATATTTGATATCTTAGATTAACCATGGAAAAAAAATTAACATTACGTGTAGGGCAAACCTTTACGGCAAGCTCGAATGAACATCTCTTATATATACACTGGTTGTTAAAAATTTTATTCAAAAGAGTCGGTTTCATTTTTTCAACGTTGAAATTGGGAGACCAAAAGTCCTGGCCCCAAAACCATGGGCTGAGAACAGACTGAGAAAGTCAAATTTTGAATATACAGTGTATCTTGAATTTAATTCAATTTTTGACAGATATATTTGAAAGGTTTCAAGTTTGACAAAATAGTCAAATACAAGCACTCGGTGAAAATTTGCTTTTATTTTTCTTGACCATTTCAAAAGAATTGAAATTTAATTTGACTTCAGTCTGTTCTCAGCTTATGGTATGGGGCCATTTATATGCCCTTGACCATTAATTATTCCATGGCCTGATATTTCTTCCCAATCTCATATGACACGATTTATATAACACGTTTAAACTTTTATCCTGTTGAATATTGACCGAAACTGTAGAGTTTGAACTGTCTTTGAACTGACAGTTGTTTACACATGTATACTCAACAAAAAAGAAACGCATATTGTTTAACTCATCAAAGAAATTTTGAAAAGGTATATGGAACAACTATCTTTTTTATCATTGGATACCTGTGACCTATTTAAAGTACATCATGGGCTTTTAAACCCCAATTGCTGAATTACTTCCCATGATTAATCATGTTTATGAAAATAGTGTTTTGCATGATTACTTGTTAATCGGGCGTCTACTCTGTAAAAACTGCGTTTAGAAAATAAACACTTCCATTACATGTTTAGACCTAAACATGTTTAAAATTATGTTTAACAGCTAAACATTTATGCCTAAACGTGTGTAATTCTCAAAACCTTTAAATTTAACACATGTTTAGATATAAGTGTTAAGAAATTGAACACTTTTCTGTGAAGTACAGAGTTATCTTCCCGGAAATGAAGCGTAGAAATTCGAACGAAAAATAGAGCGGTTATCGAAACAAAGAATTTTTAATGCAAGCTAAAGAAGATGGATTAAAGGAAGTGAATAATAGTCAAAGTGATAATTATGAAGAGATTTTGAAATGCATTTAAAATGCAACATTAGTTACATTACTAGGCCATCCTTAAAAAATTGTTTGTTTGGAATTGCCGCCTGAAGGGTTTAAGACACAGGAGGGAGGGCGGGAAATTTTTATTTTTTTTTGAAATTGAAGATAAAATTTTGATAAAAATCTCTGTAAACAGTAAATGCATTTTCTGACTTTTATAAAAAGTATCTACTATCAACAAAAACCCTCATTTTACATAGATCTGACACTAATATTTCAGTGTTTTGTATGGTGCATATGATACATGTAATGGGCAAAAAAAAGTTGATTAAATAAAAAAAAATCTTCCTACCTTTGGCCAATAAATTTTTTTTCAGGAGGGGGCATTTCAATGAGGCGGGAGGCAATTCCAAACAAACTATAATTTTATTTTGGCCCTACGATAAAAGGTATGTTTACTATTATTTTTATTTTACATAAATAGACTTGAGATTACACATGTAGTTGTAGATCAAGATTTCCTTAGGTTTGCATTCTTGGAAGCTAGAAAAGATTACATTATATAGAATATCATTGATAATATCTATAATCGGTATCCCGTACTAAATATAGGTGAAATGAATTTCAATAAAAGTAGCACAATAATAGAGCTATCAAACATATTATGTATATATTATGTATATACCGGTATTTAATTTAAAATTCTTTATAATAGACCCATGTTTGAATGTTCATTGAATAAAACTTAAAATGTAAACAATTGTTATATTTTCAGTTTTCTGCAGGAAGACAATGAAAACATCCAAGTGTTTAGTTTGTAAACTTGTATCTTAATATGTTTTGTAAAGTGTTTAAAATCTGAACATGCAAGTGTTTAGGCTCTTAACACTTTCCGCTACACGTAAGAAAAATTAATGTATTTAGAATTTCAATGCATAAAAAAGTTTGACAATGATGTGCTTAGGAAATTGTCTATCATCTAAACACATTTTTTAAGGTGTATTTTCAATGAATTTTTGGATTTAGAGAAACAATAAACACACCTATTAAACCCATATTTTTGCTTTGATTGCTATGTTGATGCTGCAACGCCACGCCAAAACAAAGATAAATGCAAAAAGGCTCTAACAATGATACTAACTGGATTTACGGAACTGGAAGTTGCAATTGCATTTGGTGTACATAAATGGGCTTTGCAGCACTTAAACGCACGTCTCCACCAGTATGGAACACGGATGACAGACCAAGAACTGGCCGTCCGCGGGTTGACCCACCCAGACACGACCGTCAGATCCTCCTTTAGCACCTGTGCAATGGACTTAGAACTGCTGTACAAACTGCTTAAATCGGCATAAAGTACACAAGTTATACGCAAGAGACTAAGAGGAGCTGGAATTTGTGCACGACGTGCGTACATTGAAAATCCACTAGCGCTGAGAGGTCGCAAAGGACGTATGCCTCTAAAAATTCTTGTCAATTTGGAACATAGGACATTGATTTTTATCACAACACAAAATCACTTTTAAAAATTAAGGCTTAAACTGAAAACTTAAATTATTATGTTTAATCCGATAATTCGGATTATCCGAATATGCGTTTGTTTCTGTTTTGTTGTTGGTGGTTTTTTTTTTCTTTTTCTTTTTTTTTTTTTTTTTTGAGTATATGTAGGAGGCTGAAGATAGAATGAAAAAGCCTAAAGCTTTACTGAAGTTTTACTGAAGTTTTTCGTGTTTTTCTTTTTTATTTTATTATATGATTGCAGTCCCAACATCTTCCCTTTTTTCGCAGAAATTAGCGTGTGTCTATATTTACCAATATTTCAGTCTTAGATTTTTGCTCCTTTTTTCAGAATAAAAGTTATCAGTCGAGTATGTAAATACGATGTTGATCAATACACGGTTTAAGATATTTCGATGCATGACAACCTTTAAGTTTCTTTTAACCACATGTGCTTAAGTGTGGACATGGAAAGCGGTGCTCGATGTATGTACGCAACTCAACCATATATAATCGAAATATTAATTATTGTTTTGTCGGTTGTCTTTTTCACAATAATTGTTTCTAACAGTCTAAACAGTCATTCATTTGTCGGTTGTCTTTTACAATTATAATTTTAATATTATATTACTAATTTATTATAAAGATGTACATATATTGATTTAACTGCATGTAAAGTTTTACAATAATCATATATTGATTATTTAAAGAATACAGTGCTGTTTTTTTTTTAATTTACTGCTTGAATTCAACAAGATATTTGTGTATTTCATTTTCAATTATTACATGTAAGATGACTCTAAGGGCTTTTCACTTGCCTTTTTTTAACAATGTGATGTTCGAAGTCTTTAAAAATGAATATCGGGTTTGGTGAGGTAAATAATTCGGGCTCGTGATACAGGGTGTAATAACGGACGACTGTCGACTACGTTTGTGTCAGAAAGTAGAACTACACAATAATAATCATCGTCCTACAAATGCAGATGCTTGGATGATGGCATCAGTTGCTCGAAATCCAGGATACAAGTATTTAACATTGCTTGTTTTTTTAAATTAACTAATTTACTTCAGTAGGGCCCTAGCATGGAAATCCATTTTTAGTTCCTACCACAAGTACTCATGGTACTCGGTAGTGTTGTCAAATCGGTTGAAAATCAGAATCGATTAATCGGTAGCATCGGTTGACCCTAACCAACTGATCATCGGCCAGTAATCGAATCGGTAACCCTTTGCATTAAATAGGCATTAGATTTCATAAAAAGAATTTTATTTTTAAATAATGTATAAAGTAAAGGTGCATTGTAAAAATTGAAATGCTAAAAACAGTATATATGCAGTTTGATTAACAATTTCAGTAATACAGATTTTTGCATGATTAGGAATTACTTGGCCTGGGAAAAGTAAGCTTTGATAGATCAGGTTTTACATGATCATCTAAAATGTACATTATGTATATGGAATTAATTTTTTAAACTGTTATAAGACATTTAATATTGCAAATCCTTGTGTTCCATATGAAATGACAGGTGAATTTCCCCAAATACTGAAAACTAATATATTTCATCTATACAAGTAGTTTAGTTTCTTCAGTTTAGAAATACAAATATCATTATCTTATGATTTATTTTAAACAGATTTTAAGTACATGTAGTTTAAAATAGTAAAGTACAACTCTTGAAAGATATATAATTTGATAACAAGAGCCTGTTTTTGAAATAAAAGTGAGAAAACTGTAAAAAGATATGTGCTGAAATATATCGATTAATCAATTGTTAAAATCTCCAATCGATTGTCTAAAATCGACAGCCTTTCCGACCGATCATCGATGCAAGTACCTGTGATTTTTACACTTGTTTACTTTACTTTAACGTTATGTGTATTTTTTTCAGAACAGGATAAAATTTACATTATCAACAAGATCAATATGCAAAAAAGTGTGTTTTTATCAATATATCTGATATCAAGATATTCTGAATTTAGAATAGCTTAAACAATATACTGACATAGCTAAATAAAACTAAGATACATGTACAGAGCTGCATGCAATGTAGTCATGATGTATTAGGCCTAGCTTTCAACATTGATTTTATAGTATAGAGTGGTAGACCAATATATATTATTTATCTTTCATCATTTACAGAATAACCTGGGGAGCGCCTAATCGGCCTATGGTTACAATGTAACTGTCAGGTCTGCCCTGGTTTCAAGTATGGATTTCCATGCTAATCAAAATACTTGTATATCGGATATCCCTTTTAACTTTGCACTTTAATATTCAAAATATTTTAGAGCTTTAGTTTATAGAAAGATAAATGATTGATGTTCATGTCTTTATTTGTCTTGAATTCTTTTTTAAGGGAAGTTCCATACACAAAACTATGAATTTGAACATGTTGAAAGACATAAACATTGATTTAACAAGATTCTTCAATGTCATGATCATTTTTAACTTAGTCTGAAGAACCATGAATTCCTGTAACATATTTAAAGATATGTCATAATTGCATGAATGTAAGTACAAGTAAATCTTGCATATACATGTATAGTATATATGCATACATGCAGAGTACTAAGTACATGTGTTATTGTGCATAACAAAAATTTAACTCTTTCTAACACTTAAACACATACCATCAGCATCTAGATGATATTTGATAATTTTCAGATTTATATATAAAATTATTTATAATCTTCTTTTCTCTTTATTAGGAGGATATCTCGACATTTTTTGAAGAACTGTGGATTTAAGCTTCTCTCTGTTGATGAGACGGCAGTAGAGGCCGTGGTCAGTCACCCAGGACCCACAGTATCAGATTATGATGTTTATGGTAATTATTCTTACCATAATTATATTTACACTACAATTGATACATCACTCGTTTACTGCATATGTAGTAAACTAACATATTCATGAATTCTCTGCCATAGAAAAATAAATCTGTTGAGAAAAGGTTAAAAATAAGCATAATTTTATTTCTGTCAATCACTTATTGTTTATAATGTAAGAGTTATTAGTGCCCTATTCATCTTGATACAATGTTGAATATGTTGAAATCTACATGACTTACAACTTACATGTATTGATTGTTTTTGTGCATGTTTGAACTTTAAATTAAGTAATAAGGGGTACTGCAGAAGACATTGTGACTATCTCAGAGTTGTCTTTCTTTGAATGTTAGAATGATAATAAGTGCTTTGTAACATACTAGTATTTCAGAACAAAAAAAAAGTTTTGAAAAAATTTATCTGTTATATTCATAATTCAGTAAAATATTATCTTGTAATTTGATTTTCAAAAAATACTTCATTGTTTAATTCAATTTGATATATTTTTAAACTGTAACTGATCATTTAATTAAATGCATAATATAAATCATCAATAAAATGCTGTCCATAAGCATGTGTATCCTTTAAACCATTTCTGCACATAGATGACAAGGACACAGAAATTGCATCGCTAACCTCTGTAAGACAATCAGTTTATTATATTTTTTGAAACATGAAGTCATTTGTTGATCACATTGTAGGTCAGCCAAAAATTTGGAACATGATGAACTTAGTGGTTTCTGGCAGGATGTTTGTTCATCATCAGCCATTAGATGAAAGTGGCAGAACATTCAGGGACTTTGAAAAACTGACAAGTGACCGTTTAACATTCCTTGTAACTTCTGAGGTCTGTTTCACCAAGGCTTTGTATGACCCAGATGTACCTAAAAGTACACTGTTGACAACTGTGAAAGGAGGCTACATTGGAAATACATCCTTTAATTCACACTCATTTTTGAAATCAGAAACCAATGAACTCCTCATCAGCAATATCAACCAAGTTGTCAGTATTGATTTTGAAACCAGGCGACCTAAGACACTGCCCTCTTGGTGGAAAATGAAATATGCAGAGACAGCTAAGAACTTTCAGTCTTACAAACTAGAGAAATTTCCAAGGGCGGATAAAACAAGTATCTACCATGTCAAAGTGGCATGGAGTGACACTGATATGAATAACCATACTACCTGGAGTGCTTATGTCCGATATGCCAAAGACGCTGCCCATCATGCTGCAAGAACTGGTGCCCTGCCAAGCTTTGAAGAGAATCTAGGGAAGGGAATCAGCAAAATTCAATCCCATTATTTAGGAGAGTGTTTAGAGGGAGATGAACTCACTGTACATGTATGGGAAGATGTAGGAGAACATTATCAATTAAAATGTCACATTGACAAAGATGAGATATGCTTATTTCAAAGTGTTATATCCTTTTTTAGTAGTTAGAAAATATTAGATATATTCTACCTCATCATAATTACGCTGTTCACTATTTAGTGTAATGTACATTATTTTGTAACTGATCAGTCTTTGTACATGAATAAATCATAGAAATTTGCAGTAGTTGTTGCTTTTAAAATCGAAACGATTAAAATTTCATTTACATTCTGTGTAAAAAATATTGAGTCATATTTTTTCTAATAATAGTTTTTAAGAGATACATGTATAATGCAGTGATTCTGTTACAGAAGTCATTTCCTTTTTAGCTCACCTGAGCCGAAGGCTCAAGTGAGCTTTCTGATCACATTTTGTCTGGCGTCCGTCTGTCTAGCTGTCTGTCTGTCCGTCTGTCTGTAAACTTTTCACATTTTCGACTTCTTCTCAAGAACCCCTGGGCCAATTTCAACCAAACTTGCCACAAAGCATCCTTGGGTGAAGGGGATTCAAGTTTGTTCAAATGAAGGGCCATGCCCTCATTTAAGGGGAGATAATTGGGAATTAATGAAAATTTGGTAGTATGTTTTAAAAATCTTCTTCTCAAGAACCACTGTGCCATGAAAAATGAAACTTATGGGGAAACATTCTCAGGTAGTGTAGATTCAAGTTTGTTCAAATCATGACCCCCGGGGGAAGGTTTGGGCCACAATGGCCGTCCAAAGTTTAAATAGAAATATTTAAGGAAATTCTTCAAAAATCTTCTTCTCAAGTATAACAAAGCCATAATTGATCATATTTATATGGAAGCATCCTCAGGTAGTGTTGATTCAAGTTTGTTCAAATCATGACCCCCGGGGGAAGGGTGGGGCCACAATGGCTGACAAAAGTTTTACATAGAAATATAAAGGAATATTCTTAAACAATCTTCCTCTCAAGAATAACAAAGCCATGTTTGATTATATTTATATGGTAGCATCCTTAGGTAGTGTCAATTCAAGTTTGTTCAAATCATGACCCCCGGGGGAAGGGCGGGGCCACAATGGCCGACCAAAGTTTTACATAGAAATATATAGGAAAATTGTTGAAAAATCTTCTTCTCAGGAATAACAAAGCCATGATTGATCATATTTATATGGAAGCATCCTCAGGTAGTGAAGATTCAATTTTGTTCAAATCATTACCCCCGGGGGAAGGGTGGGGCCACAATGGCCGTCCAAAGTTTAAAATAGAAATATTTAGGGAAATTCTTCAAAAATCTTCTTCTCAAGTATAACAAAGCCAAGATCGATCATATTTATATGGAAGCATCCTCAGGTAGTGTTGATTCCAGTTTGTTCAAATCATGACCCCTGGGGGTAGGGCGGGGCCACAATGGACGACCAAAGTTTTAAATAGAAATATATAGGAAAATTCTTTAAAAATCATCTTCTCAAGAATAGCAAAACCATAACTGGTTAAAGGTTTACTTTTGGATTTAAACTTTTCAATAATAAAACCAATTTCTACTTTTTCCTAGCCACACAGGTCAGGTGAGCGATGTGGCCCATGGACCTCTTGTTGTCAATAACTCCATATATTTTAGAGAAAAGAAAGTTCTTATCACCTACAGACCATAAGCTACTTGTACATGTATCATTCAAATGTAATGTATGCTCTAGTCAATTCATTAATATCAAATTAATTACAACTGAAATCATCATGTAGAAAAAAATTTTATTTTTGTTTTTAATCGACCGTTTTCCTATGACGTATTTTGCCTTGGATTTATTCCCCTTTGCCGCCATCCTGTAGGGTAAAGTAGTGAATTTTCCTCCTTGAGCAACCAATTTTAAACATGCATGGAAGGAATATATGGGGGGGAGGGATATCTACAATCTTAAAATTGTGAATTAATAGAGGCTTTAACAAATGTATATTATTCAAAAGAAAAGTAGTGTTATCTTTACCTCCGTAACCAATATAATAAATTGGTTGAATAATGAATGGATCTGGAAATGTTGACCTACAATATGGAGGCCATGGGGAATTACTCTTGCTTAAATCATCTCAATGGCAAACACTTTGAAGAGTGGAAAGGATTACTTATACTTCTTTAATGAAACATTTGTACTGGCACTTCATTAGCTTTTTTGCTCACCTGAGCTGAAAGCTCAAGTGAACTTAAATTTCTGTTCATCTGTTGTCCATCTCCATATGTAAATTTTCACATTTTCAATTTCTTCAAGAACCACAGGGTAAACTTTAACCAAACTTGGTACAAAGCAGCCTTGGGTGGAGGGGAGTTTAAACTGTTAAAATAAAGGGCGATGTCTTGTTAAAATGAGAAATAATCGAGCAAAGAGAAAACTAGGATGGGGTCATTGAAAAATATTCTCAAAAACCACTGGGCCAGAGAAGCTGAAACTTATGTGGAAGCATCCTGGGGTTGTGTAGATTCTACATTGTTCAAATTATGACACCAGGGATAGGGTGGGGTCACAATAGGGGATCCAAGTTTTACTTTGAAATGTATAGGGAAAAAATTGAAAATCTTCTTCTAAAGAACCATTGTACTAGAAAAGCTGAAAATTATTTGGAAAAATCCTTGGGTAGTGTAGATTTTAAATTCTCCAAAAAATGACCCCTGGGATAGGGCAGGGTCACAATAGGTATTATAACGGGGAAATCTGGTTAAGAACAGGATGACCAGTTCCTCTGGAGAATGATGTGGCCCATGAGTCTTTTGTTTTCATATTGCATAGATTTGTACATGTCGAATTGCCTCCACAAAATTATATCTTTCAAGCAGCTGTAATTGATACGGACTAGCAATGTAGTGACTTTGAAACTTCATAAAATATTGAATAACTCAGCTATCTAATAATTAAGACCCATAAGGGTCATATATTTCAGCATAGGTTTATATATTTATGAGATCAATAGACTGTTATTTACCCTTTTCCAGAGATAATGCAGGGATTTGACTTCTATGTGCACATACGTACATGTGGTGAAAATAAGATTTCTACGAATTTATAATAATTATACACGAAAACGTTTTTTTTAATTTAAATTTATCTTTTATTACTAAAGTGTTTTACATTTTTTCTCATACTTATTCACTTTAATAACACCAAATCAAAGTAAAAAACATAATAATATATTCATATACAATATATCATTATGATTCACTCAAGCTTGGAATGTATAATAAATGTAAAATAAAAATTGAATTCAACAAACACATAATCTCTAAAAATTATTCTAAATCAATAATTAATAATTCAAGAAAAGCATAAACCTTTAACATGTTAAAATACTTTTAAAATAATGTCAAATTATGGTTTTATTTGCTCTGGTTGATCTACGTAAATTAGTATTCATATTCATAAATACCTGAATCAATAACAATGTAAACATATATATATATATATATATATATATATATATATATATATATATATATATATATATATATATATATATATATATATATATATATAACGTATTTTATGTTGTAAATTGTACATATTTATTTAGGATATGTTCAAAGCTATAATTTTATCAGCATAATTATTTATATAACCATAAAGATATCATATAGGAAATTCATGTAGTAATTTAACTAGAATAAATAAACACAGTTAGGATTTTCATCCAGTGGCATATGATTTACAGTTTTAAATGATTCTGAATTGGTACTCGTATACTTGTAATGAAAACGTGTTTTATGATTAAAGTCAAACACATAAACATTATGTTTAGTGCAGTTGCTTAGTGCACAACGCAAGTAAACACACATTATTGAATGTTCAAAAACATATTATATAATATACAAATACTCCAAGGAAGACCTATTTTATACAGTTATTACTTATGGTATAAAATGTACATTCGCAAAGATATTAAAAAATGCACATATTTTCAAATATGTCAATTATCTACTTATGTACAAAGCTGTAAATTATTTACAAACATAAAAAATTGTAAAATATTTACATATACACAAAGATGTGAATTACTCATAAAAACAAAAAAAATATGTAAATTGGGTACATACTCACAAATATGTATTTATTTTTACATGTTAATATACATACGGAGATGTTTTTAAAAATTATTTACATACATTAATTAACAAGTAAATCAATTCAGTTCAACTGTTAAATCAAATGACATTGTATTTACACACAGTTTGGTACACTGTACATATATATCATAGCATATTTAGTAATATTTTTTCAAACTTCTAATCACTAGCATAGAAGTGTAATTTTCATGAAGGCACCATCATAATTTTGATTTCAGATTCCATTTCACTAAACAAACATAAAATGAAGATTTACCATATGATATGTACAGAGAGGTAATTGTATGAGGTTAAACCAGTTAGTACATTAAATGAAAAATGTTTTACATAATGACAAAAAGTACACCCACCCCCACCACATGCCAATAAATATATACAATATGAAAAGTTCAAAGTGTTGTTGATTGAAAAATGTTGATTAGAAGTTCGAAGAATAAATCAAACATCAGTAAAAAGCATTGCATAATTCAAGTATTACACAAATAATCCCTTTGAACAATAACAATAGCATCTATTTACAACTTTGGAAAATATAGATTCTAAATTAAACATATATGAAGAAAAAAGTTAATATTCTTGGATATTTTTCTGTTTACATATACCTTTAAAGCATAGAATGAGATTTTGAAGATAATGTACAAAAACCATGTTCAAAAAGTCCGTTAAAAGAATAAAAATTAAATGCAGAGCAAACCTGGACCTCTTAAGACATAAAAGGTGGGATCAATTGCCATGGAGTAGTAAAATTTCCTATGGACTGGTCGCATCTGCCGTGTGCTCCTTGTCACTATTGCGCAAAGGATAAAAATGTAAATAGTTTTAGTATGAAAATAACTGCCTTACACTTCGTATAAAAATACGTCAGTCAACACTCGACTTAAGGAGGCGGGGTGGGGGGAGTTCAACAAATAAATTTACCATCAGATTTAACATTTTTAGATATAATATCGTACGCTGTCTACGATAATTTGCAGAGGAAAATTTCATACAATTTAGTTTTAAAATTTGATCCTTTTTGTATATCTTTATAAGGAGCTCTTCTTCTAAAGGAGATCAAAAAGGTCTGAAAATGGCCATGCCCCTCAACTCTCTTAATGATACTGAAATAAGCTTGTGTGTTATCTCCTTTACTTACTCGCGATCGATATTCATCTGAAAGGAAAGATTTTTAAAAAATATTTAAAACATAATCAAATTACTTTAATCAAATCATTAGCATAGCATGGTTAAGAATGATATCGGTTTATTGATAACTTACTTTATTCAATGCCTGGATATTCTCCTCCTAACAATGTCTAGAATTTCCTTTGTAATTTCTTTAGCTTTTCTTGCATCGCTTTGTGTATAAATTTGGGATGGAATTAAACTTTCTGAAACAGCATCAGGATAACGCATGCGGAAATAACTCCCTGTCACATTTTCAAGCTGATAGATAAGGTCGGGTAATGATATTTCACCAATTGAAGACACCAGCTCTGACAGACTGTGTGAACTATGAACTCTTTCGATACCACCTTTTTCATACCAAAGAGCTTTTAAAGCCTTTTCAGCAGCCTACAACGGTATTTATACAGTTCGTTATAATATTGGAGAAAAGTGGCAGACGAAAGTTCCATGACAATGGCGTTATAATAATTATAAGAACACAGTTCACTTTTGAATTGCGAATAGCGAATGTAGAGTTCAACAAATGCGTTTAAATGTTTCCTAACAAAACACGAGCTCTGTTATCTGAACGCCGCTATAACAGTGTGTCTGGAGTTATAATGATATTGCACTGTTAGACCTATAATTAGACCTGAAGACAAAACAGTTTAACCCCCTTTAAAAGGGCGTAGACAATGAAGTTGATATTTTCTCAAATAATCTGTATTGTATTATATCTTGTATGCTGCTGTAGCAAACCACACGATAATATAATAATAATAATAATGATAATAATAATAATAATATTGTCAGTCAATAGTCAGTAATACGTGCAGAGTTCAACAAATGGAACTCACCGGGTGAAACAAATGTTTCCTTAAACAAAACACGAGCTCTGTTATAGCTAATATTTACGCAGGGTGTGCTCGATTTATTAAACCCAGCACACATCACTGAGCACTGACTGACAAAACTGGTGACTTGGTTTTGATTTCTAAAATTTCTACCCTGAATTTTCTGGATTATTATTAAATATTTTTTCATTAATACAAAACAAATGCCTATTTTTCTCAAAGATTAAGTTTACTCTGTAAAAATGCAGTTATGTGTCAATCAAACGTGTCACGAAAGAAGTTGCAATTACTAGATAAAATAAGATTTATATTATATTTTTGTTTGAAATGCCATAGCAACATATTAGCCGTGATACTATATTATATTATACAGACAATTTAAGGGAAAAACTTCAAACATGTGTCTAAGCCCCGTAAAATCTATTGTTAATTAAAGCAGTTTTATTAGAAGTCTCGATTTTCTTCTCCACATTAAATTAAAAATCAGCGCAACATTTATTCCCTTTTAACCTTCACTGAACTGTCAAACAACTATATTCATCTATACTCCAGGAAACCGAAGTATTCTTATTGTAGTAAATCTTATTTTGTGTTAGATTATTTTCTCTAATTGGTGTAATACTTTAATTAGTATATGACTTTTGTTAAAAAAAGTTATGTAAGTGGATTAACTATAAACAAGTGAATTAAAAAGAAAGATTGTTAACAAAATACTATTATGTTAGAGAACAAAACTTCTGACTAAAATGTTTCCCCTCCCCCCGCCGAAGTATTTTTTATAGTAATTCTTATTTTCTGATCTTAACAACATTTCAATTTGTAAGAGAGAGAGAGAAGATGAAAGAGAGAGAGAGTTTGAGTGAATCCCAATATTAAATGGATTACCTGATGACATTTGTAACATGACCAATTATATGACTCTGGAAAACAATCGTTGGAGGCAGCAATATAATCATTTTCTGCTTGACTTATCCATCTTTTGGCTTCTTTAGGTTGAGGTCCACTTTCCATTATAAGAGGGGGGTGTACTCGTATTTTTTTTGGTTGGATTGATGGTAGTGATTCGTCAGATCTCATCACCTTCAAACTGTCTAGCACACAAGAAATGGCAGCAGGATTTTGGAAGCATTCTAGAACTTTTGGCAGGAATATAATCCTGTCACCCAAAATATTGTCAAGATAATCATTGATTTGTGTTGACATTGATATTGAATTTGTATTCATCCATGTAATCAAACTTGTACATTCGTGCACTGTGAAGTAAATCGAAAGCATTTCATCACACTCAGTGGTTTTTCTCTTTGCAAATATCGTGTTTGTTTCCTCTGTATTTGGCAGAACTTCATCTTCATACACAAGCACAGTCGTCAGAAATTCAAGTTGAGTGAACGAAATGTTTTTAAGTTTGTGTTTCACAGTCCGTTGTTCCGTCTCCGAGAAGGGCATGTTGCAACGAAAATGTCTATCCAAAATAATTCTGAACATTCCTTCCAAAAACTCATGACAACAAATAAAACTTTCCAAACACAAAGCAGTATTAGAATTCTTTATTATGGTTTTCTTGCTATTCACTTCTAAATCTTCCGTGACCAGTTGTGAAAGTAGTTGTGGTCTGAATTTTTCAGGTAAAAGCTTAATCACTGACATCTGGTCTTTAACATTCATATGAAGAGTCTTAAAACCAATGAAAAAACTAAAAGTAGGCATGTTAACTCCGATTCTTTTTTGCAGAAGCACATTATCGATAAACACCATTTCCTTGCTGTCCTCTAGCTTATTTTCTTTAGTCAAGAGATATAATTTTGGCACACCCAATTGTACATCTTTATTTTCAGACCTTCTTATGCTAAACAACCCTTTGATAGCCTTTCTAATGCATTCCAATTCATCTATACTTAACTCCCTATCATATGACTTCGATTTAATTTCACTTAGTAATTTTGCATAGTGACTGCTTGTAGCATATACTGCTGCTCCATACTTTTTAAAAAGTTCATGATATTGACCGAAAAATACAGATGCCTTGCAAATGAATGGTAAAATTTCGTCCTTTTCATTAATGTTTAGTACAACATGATCAGGGGTTGTCAATATCTTTCTTTCCTTTAAGAAAACAAATGGGACACCACTTAATCTCTCAACTGACCAAGCGTTTCCATGTTCAGACAGGTATTTATAGGCTTCTTGCATGATTTTTGCTATCAATTGTTCCCGTCTAACGATTTCAGGTTTTGATTGCTCTAGTAATGGATGAAGCGAGGAACAAAATAACTGAATATGATTAACTACTGACTCAAGCGTAGGATTACGTATGTTAAGTTCTTCAATAACATATGCTGAGTAGGAACAATCTTGCAGGAGAAAAAATGGGTCTGCTTTATTCGAAACAATATCCATTTGTGACCATGCGATCAAACAATTTGATGGTAATGTAGCTTCACTATAACAAATAAGACGCCTTGTATCCGTGTACTGTTTGAGAAAGGATACGCAAATGTCATCCATTTTATGAGGACAAATAAATCTCAATTTCCTCACTTCACGTAAGATTGTGCGGTCCTTCGATAGCTTAAAGGGTCCAAAAAATAAAAGTTTCAGCAAATGGCTAGAATTCCTTTCCACTACGTCACTGATTCCTGTTTTATCAGCCAGGGTCTCTAAACGTTCAGCAAATGTAACAAATATTTCGGAAGTGATATTGATTTCGCACAACATTCCGGAAAAAATTAGAAATCCCTCCCACACCTTTTCGTTAAATGGTTTCGGTGGCAATTCAGAACTTAAACATAGCTGGTTTTCCAACGAGAAAAGTTTCTGGTGTGGATTATAAAATTCACAAGCTTGTGCGAGACAGCCATCCCCTCTCTTTAAAAAAGCAGTTTCACGTAACAACTTTCTTATCTGTTCCTTCTTTTCTTCCATCGTTTGGCTGTTTAAAAGTTGTGGCAGAAGATTATCCCGTATAAACTGCAAGTGTTCTTCTATTGCATTAATTGGTAAGAGTTCAAAATTGGGAAGAACATGTATAGTATACAATTCACACTTGTTAGGTTCCATGAAACCTAGAAATTCATAGAGTTCACGAAAGGTTTTATTTTCAGGCAGGAAGATGGTTTTTGTTTTATCGCCTAACTCCTCCAATCCTTTTTTTGGAATATCATCTGAAAGAAGGATAACTGTTCTGTCCCTTGCAGACTTGAAATTATTAGATACTGTAAAATACATTGGTAGATTCCTCAATATCTGTTTACTTTTTTCTTTTTCCCGAAGATTCACTAGATGCTCCGACATATAATTAAACATGGTATTTACTGATTTTTTGTTGCAAAGTATAGCACAGAAGAATTATTCTGAAGACATTCCAGCACGGATACAGCATCATACATGTTCGCTACCAAGTTTTTCAATAAGCTGCATGTACATGCAAATGCATCTCCCGCAGGAAGGCTCTGTAAGTCAATCAATGGAACATTCATATTCAGCAAAGCACCATGTTCTCTTTCATATCCCTTTGTGAGTAGGATATTCGTTCCACTGCCGAGAGGGAAAACAAATAATCCATTTTTACCTTTTGTCACCGGTAAAAGGTTACATCTTTTCAAATGTAACAACAACAGTTCTGAAAACTCTTTCAGAAACTTTTCCTTTTTTGCAGCATTGCTTACTTTTGTTTCCTGTCCCTCACAATAAATGTCTAAAGAACTAACTTTTCCGTCATTTTCTCTATCATGGCAGCTTTCAAATTCCCTAAACTGTTGTGATAAGAATTTCCAAACATCAAACATCCAACTTTTGTTTGGTAATATCTTTGAAGATTGAGACCATTTAATAGCAGCATTCTGACACATTTTGTCTCCAAAATTCATCCGAAGATGTTCAAAGAAATTATCAATTTTTAACTCTTCAACAAAATCAGAGAATAAAGTACATTTACAACGATTTGTTTCACCGTAGAAACCTCTTTTATTATCAACTGAACATTCGCAACGCTTTCTCAGAATGTGAAGTTCTCTTCCATGCGCAATTTTGCTGGCCAACTTTGGAAGCAAATCTGGAAAATTTGTAAGCAAAACTTTTCGATCGGTTGAAAAACATCGTATATACTTATCTGAGGTTAAAAGTAGGGGTAAGTCTATCAATTCTTCTTTTCGAATTTTATTGCCTTTGACACAGTACTCCAAAACTTTGCCAACAGTGTTGCAATCTTTAAACCCTGTCAGTTGAACTGGAATGTCAGTATTAAGCTGATACATTTATATGCACTGTAGTCTTTAAAAGTTTTCAAAAATTTGATTACGGAACGTGATGAGAACCACGTCAGGTTCACGTCATCATCAATGTCATTTAGACTCTCCCAGATCCAATATGGGATTTCTGTTATTTGCATTTCAAAGGCTTTCATCAGTTCAGGAATTTCTCCTAATTCGACACAATGTTCGACCAAATATGTTACACACAATGCTACATCTTGTATTGATTTCCAAGATACTTTTAAAAGTTCCTTATCAGATTCGTTTGAAGTGGAATCTTTTGTTTTTACATTCGCTTTCTCAGTGCTATCACAGATTTTGGTTGTAATGTTAGCAGGCATATCCAATTTTCGGAATATTGGTAAAACATTGCAGTTGTTTTGAAATAAATGTATATAAATTTCTGTTGCAATGAATTTATAAATGTTACTGTTTGCACTTCCTATGTTTGGAAATACTTTATAGAATGTTTCAATGCTTTTCAAATTATTTTTTATTATATCTGTACCTGTACCAAATAGCATGTCCCGAAGGTGTTCAACAGCAGAAATGTAAGTTGGCACCAGAACGTATTTTACCAAGCATGTGTTCCAGTCCAACTTAACACCTTTGTATTCATCCAGAGCCCCAAAAATATGCTTACGAGTTTCAGAGTCTATGGCAAAATGACCATTTATGTGCACTGGTAAACCAGTGGCATTTGGTAATGGAAGGACACAAAAAACTTTGAACTCTTTGAAACATTTTTGCAGTTGGTTTTCATTCGTGTCAATCCCTGTATCAGCAGTATTTTCGTTACATATGAAAACAGCAACACCCGCAGAAGGCAACAATGCTAATTGTCTAGCTTCATACGCCTTATGGATAGAGGAAGGAATACTGTAATGTGAATTGAAACCAAATCCATTCACCAACAACCACTTTTCCTTTTGTAAACCATTGATGTCTATCTCTAAATAAGACTTAAACACCTTTTGTTGGATTTTACAAAGTTCATCAGGATTTTCAACCATTTGTTTTTTTGCTTCAACAAAGTGAGAAAGTAGTGAAACCTCCTTTGGGAATATCAGTTCAGATTTTGCAGAAACGTAGAACATTCTTTCTAATGACCCAGAATTTGTTATTCTTGACAAAATTATCGACCTGACGTTGTGTAAAAAGAGAAGACATTCTGGTGCTTTTTCCTTCAATTCCTTAAACATGTCTTCTATGTTCTTGATTGAATACATTTTATGTGACAATTTCGAATCACTTCTTTGTCGAAGCGGAAAACGAAATAATGTTCCACGAGAATTTTTCCATACATTGGTATCCTCCAAGTAACATGGCATTATATCTCCGAACTTCACTCTGACTGTTTTTGATACATTGCGGAACATCCTACCAGGTTTCTGAAGAGAGGACCCAAAAACATATTCACAATGAGGATCAAGAATGCATAGCGTATCTAGAGACTTTTCCAAATCTCTCGTAAGGAATGAAGGCACATCTGTGAGATGATAAACAACGTTGAATCCTACACCATACTGCCCTGTTGCAAATGGATCTTCACGTTTACTTCCAGTACCTAAGTTCTGAATTCCTACGAAATTTTCCTCATTGAATATGCTGTCATTGTATACACAGAGAGCAGGTCCCTGTATTTCTGCCCATTTATCACTGAACACATTCTTTGTTCCATGAATTCTTTCATCTATAATGAAATGAAGTACTGATGCACCAGAATCATCGGCATTTTGAAGAAGCTCTTGTAAAATACTAGTGTTCGGATATCCGTCTAGGATAGATTTTATTCTAGTTGTAAGATTTTCATGTTGTCCAAATTTATATCCAAATTCGTCAGAGTCTTCTAGAACAGAATGTTCTCTCTTTGATTTTATCCCAGCAAGCTTCGCTATTTTAGTGGATATTTTTTCATGTAAAAAATACATCGATTCACTGTTTGGTATCAATTCAATATCATTCATGCACAAGCAGTTGACAGTTCGAAGGTGTCCCTTTGTATCAGGAAGACAAAGTTCATTAGATGAGATGCTATCAAAATCTTCAAAAAGCTTAGTGATTCTGCAAACTAAACCTAAATCTGTCTCGGATAATTGCTTCTCTTTATATTGTTCCTTGATTTTCGATAAAATTTGGACGATTTCGTCAGGATCAATTTCTTTTCTAACACCAAAAGCTTCCATTAACTTTGAATATCGACCCAAGGAAGTTTTTTCTATTCCATATAAATGAGGACTACAGTCAATTTCTAAGGCAAAAAACACTTGTTTTGCATAAACAAAGGTTTTTCCTATCAAAACGCATCGCAACTCGGAGAACTCCTTTCTTACAAACTCTCGCCACTCTCTTTCTATTAGGTTTTCTTCAAAAGCTGCGTAAATTGCAAAACAAATCTCCTCAACAATTCCACTATTTACATCATCTGACCTTTCAATTATTTCTTGGAGTTGCGACTTTAAGGTCTGTGGTTTTACATCTCTCTTGCATTTTACACCTATTGATTTTAATACAACACTGTACAAATCTTCCTCGGTGTAACAATCAAGAACTGCTTCTGTGCAAGCAACCAAATTTTTGTTCGACTGAAAAAATAAATTGGAAGGTTTTTGAAAGTATTGGAATTGACCATTGTTGTCTAATTCATCATTTCTATGAATTGTGCATTTCTCTGACACACAAGTTTGCTTCGATGCTCTCGTATACCATTTCCATGGCCAGTCTTTTGGTTTCTTTTTTGATGGCAAAAAATGAATGTCAGACATTTTCTTTCTTGTTTCTTCTGACATTTGATCAAAAAAAGTATGCATATATTTTACAATTTCATTTGAACATCTGCTAGCACATGAAAAGCAAGAAACTGCTGTCAAGGCAACGCTTTCTGCTTGCAGAACTAACACTTCCCATGGAATCTTTTCTTTTATCATACCAAGTTCAACAAGTATATCTAAAACTTCCCCTTCACAAAATTTTTCCGCTGGAAAATACTCTTTATTAGGCAGAAATATGTCTTTGAGGGAAGATTGTGGATGTACAAGATGTCCTGGCGCTTTTCTTATACCTGCTGCAAGTGTTGAAATACATTCAGATTTCTTAATGGCAGCTAGAATGTTATTTTCTTTGCTTTTTATGGCGTTCACAACAATTTCATCGTACTCTTGCCCCTGATAATTGGAGATAAATGGCAGTAATAAGACGATTATGCTATCTTCGTAGGTCACAATGTCATTCTTGAAATCTGTCCCATTGTAAATCTCAAACTTTTTAAAGATATTGTCAGGCAGATCAACAACTACTTTTCCTTCTGGGTTGTCTTTTAAAACTTCGAATGCAATGTTTTTCAGTTTTTCATCATCACAGACCTTTGGATGCAAAAACATGCATTCTTTATATGTTTTCCACCCACAGTGTGTCCTGAATAGGGGCAAAGGACGCTCAGCTAAAGCTTTGTAAAATTTCTGCTGAAAGTCTTCCCAAATACTACTATTATATTGATCTGGCCATAACATCGTATATATGTAATTTTCAGAGGATCGGTCTTTTAAATCTAGCAACATTACCAATACTGCCTCTAGCGTTGCATCACATATGACACTGGTATTCCAAATACTTTGATTCGAAATTTCTTTGTCATCTTCACTTTGCATCATCAATCCTTTCCGATCAGATGAAAGGGCAAAAATTCCATTCACGTGAAAGTTCAAACCAGTTTGTATTGGAAGCGGGAGGAAGCAAAACAAATGACCTGTGTCAAAGAAACCATATCGAGACGTTTTCTTAAATTCATCATGGAAAAATAATGGCATTGTGTTTCCCTCATTACTCTTGATGGGTACGGCTACACCGGATATAGGTAATGCTCCATCACTTTTCTTCTTCTTGTAAAGTTCTAGTGATTCGGATTTTCCTGTTGCCCAGGCTAATATCCAATCTACACAAAGGTTTATGTGCTCAGATGTGCCAAGCCAAGACTGGCACTTTCCTTCTATGGTAATTCGTGTCTTACAAATTGTTGTCATATCCTCCGATTTTTCGCAGATTTTTGCAGCCAAAGCTAAGATGCCTTGTTCTGCGTGATTCTTAAAGACTGTTTCTTCCTCTTTTTGAACACTTAGAACTAATTCCATTTCCTTGTCTGGATTTTCTCCTTCTTTCTTTAAGTGAAATATTTTAAGAGTTTTTACATTCTGAGTGAAAAGAAGCATATTCCCACATGATTTACAGATTATTTTCAACAATTTTTCTACCTCATCCTTTGTGTAAGCTTTTTGCAGAATTTCGCTGGTTTTTGCTTGTTCATTAGTTCTTAAAGGAAATCTGAATAAAGTACCTCTAAACAAGTTGCCTTTCGCAAGTTCTGTGGGTAAAAAGCCGAAAACACTATGGTATGGCTTAAACTGATTTTCAAATTTCTCAAGCATGAGTTTATTGTGAAGATTCAGCTTAATACCCGGGCTCATTTCATTTAGGGTTGTATTTCCAAGATATTTGCGATGGGGATCTAAGTAAACTAAATATTTTCCACTTAGAAAACTAGGGACATCAGTCAAATTGTATACAGCATTGAAACCTAATCCGAACCTTCCGATCTTTGTCTCATCATCTCTTTTTGTAGCACCACTTAATTTTTGGATATTTTCAAAATCTTCTGGTGTAAAATCAGCATTATTAAAAGCCCATAAGGCTGGTCCCTGACAGCTTTCCATGCCTTGGTCTAAAAGACAACTTCTAGCATTTTCGTTTTCCCTTTCATCATATAGGAAGCAGACTTCGGATGCACCAGCATCATCTGCATTTTGAATAAGTTCCTTTGGCACAGAAAGTCCATCCGTATATCCTTCTTCTAGAAGACGATTCAGTCGAGTCGTCAGAGGCTCAGACTGTCCAAATTCGGTGATAATATCCTCTGCATCAGATAAAGTTAATTCTTTTAAAGATCGTACCCCAACAGCCTTAGCATCCTCCTTGTCAATTTGTGAGTGAACTAAGGTAATGTCATCTTTATCTGAAAATGTTCTACTAAACCAATCAGATTCACAATAGGCACACTCTTCTGAATGTCGAAACACAAGAGAACTTTCATCTTTTTGGTGAATGGGTACGATAATCTTATGTCTAAGACTGGGTACCTCCAAGGAATATGTTCTTGCGAAAGTTTTTATGATATTTTGAACTATTTTCAAATTGCATTTTGAATCAGACGTTGACATTTCTGACGAATGACTAGCATTGATCTTGTGTAGAGTTACTATGAGCAAATCAGCTGTCTGTTTTGTATTACATCCTAGCCTTGTAAAGAGACTTCGAATTGCACTATATTCTCTCTCCAAAGGAAAAATGTAAGGGGTCAAATTCAAATCCTCGTTGCCTCGTTCAATATAGATACTTTCGGGTTTCATGAAACCTTGTTCTGTAAGTATACATTTGTCAGGAAGGGGATTCTTCACAAAATTGACTTCATTGTCTTTTGAAAGATATTGATAGATCTTTTTCACAATATATCTGTAGTTATCATGCTCTTCCTCACAGTAACATTCAGTGATTTTGAAAAAGTGCTGTATCACAAATTTCAGTGATACATCTTTGGGTCTCGTAAGTAAAAGGTTTTCCCATTCCTTCAAAGCAGTTGGAAATATTGACCCAATGAGATATCCACATTCTTCAGAAAAAATTTCATTTAATGAAACTAAATTTCCTCTGTTGGAATACCACTTGAGAGATATTGGATAGTTTTCGGGTCTGTTGGTCTGAAATTGCATAATGTTGTATCTTTCTATCGAGGAATAAATGGAGTCAAATAAATCTGGACACGCGTTAAGAATTTGTGTCAGAGCTTTGGCCTTCTTTAAACTTGTTTCCGTACTGAACGCTTTTTCATGAAGACGCTTGCATGTGGCTACAATATCATCTTTCAGAGTAGAACTAACTCTTGTCAGAAATTGCACATTTGCACTCTTTAACAAAGTTTCTTTTCTTCCAGTCTCTGATGGAAATTTGGACTCTTCATGGAATAGATCTTTTAATATTTCATCCTCTGGATCATAAAGCTGACGTGGAGAACATAAATGTCCACTTCCGTTTTCAATAAATTTGATATCAGCTATACTTCTTTGAATTCCAATCCAATTTGTTAAGGAATGATGCATTCCCAAAACATAGAAGCAAAACTTCCTCCTGTCTTTTTCTTCCAAAAAATATCTTTCTTGATTTATCCTTGATATACATTTCTCCACAACAACATTTAAGGTCACTTGAACCGATAGAGGGTTTCTAAGCAATAGCGTCTCTTCGTGTTTTGAGGACGCTATGATCATGTTGCATGGGAATGAGACAGGAAAATCTTTATTACCAACATAAACATGACAACATTCCTTTAAAGAGGTATAACCCACCATTTCCTGTACATTAGAGAAACATTTGAATATTTTCAATTTTCCTATTGCATTGATTAGTGAAGAGGAGAGTGTATTTGGTAGAAATGTTTTAAATAATTCTTTCTCTTCGGGGGAGCCAGAATTCATTAATTTCTTTCCGTTTTCAATGCATTTTGACAGAATCTTTTCTTTTCCATTTTCTGACGATGGCAAAACAATACCCTTTCCTGGTTGCAATAAAGGATGATCATGAAATTCAGTATCAACAATCCAAATGTTAAAATACCAAAAGATGTTTCTCATGGAAAATTCGATATTTTCCTCACTGATATAGGTGTCTGTTATCTTTCTCAAAACATCAAAACCTTTTGTTTTCACAAGAGGCAGTCCAACAATAGGAGAAAGAGTGTTCTGACAATGAATTTTCAAGTAATTCCATACTTTCTGTAACCATTTGTCTCCAAAAACCTTTCCACTGCCTTTTACAAGCTTTACTTCAATGCTTTCCTCTGTGGATGCTACATCAGTCAACAGTCTGAAAAAATCCTTTTCTTCGAGGATTTGAAAATTGTATATCCCTGCAAAGGAAAAAAGTCATTTAAAAAAATCAGTACAGACCTCAAAAAGAACTGTTGGTTATAAATGAAAACATTCCATTAAAAAGTATCTCACAATGTGTTAGTCTTACCTGAATCTGCTAAAGTTTTCAGAACATCACCAAGTTCTGTATTGGAACGTTTCACAAGATATTCCTTCATGCCGATCAACATTTCAAGTTCATTTTCCTCACAAAGATAGATTCTTTCTTCTTGTTCTTCTTTCTTCTCCTTATTACTTGAAAATATTTTAAAATCACCATTAGCTACTGGAAGTAGTTTTATTCCATCCAAATTTGAAAGTCCACAGTGACTATCAGTACAGCAAAAAATCAAAAGATCTTCCTTTTCTTTTGATGACATCTCCTCATAGTTCTTCCATATTTTTAGAATGTTCAGCGTTTCTTTTGGATTTGTACATTTCGGAACAAATGTCATTTTCTCCCATTCATTGTACAGATCAGTATAATTTTCTAGCACAACTGTTTTCTTTGTGCATTTGTCAAACAACGTTTTTACAGTTGATTGTACATTTTTGGATACATCTTCTTGGAATATTGCAAGAAATGCGTCTTGAAAATTTATCCAACGCCTTTTCTCTAGACAGGGTATTTCTGAATGCTTGAGATATTCTTCAACCCCTTCACAAATAGGCCTCCATTGAGAATCAACTTTTGATATCCTCGGGATATACTGATAAAACATTTCCAGATGATTTTCCAATTCAGTTTTAAGATCATTGCTCCATGAATTCAAGAACTCTCTATATACAACTGGTAAAATATTCTGTACTAATAGTACATTCCAGTCCATGTCTTTTTCCAGGTGTGAATTGCTAGCGGTTTGATCAAGAGATGGCCACTTTAAATGTTGTCTATTACTGTCCAAGGCAAAAAACCCATTAACATGCACAGGTAAACCAGTAGGACTTTCACTGGTGGAAGGCAATGGAAGAAAGCAAAATACACGTCCTGATGAAATGGGCGAATCGAGTCTGGCTGCAATACCTAAATAGGGCCTATATTTACAGTGTCGAGTTCTTACAAGTTGTGACAATTTTTCATCGATCTCATCCCCACAAACAGAACCTGTGTAAAAATACTGAACAACTAGCCATTTCTGACAGGAGTCTTGTGAATCCAGACAAACTTTGTAATCTACGATTGATTTCAACAGAATAGGGTCATAGTTGAAAATTGCTGAATCATCATTAGAAAGTTCTCTTTCTACTTCTCCTATTTTTTCTTTGTATTGCGATCTGTCTGCTGGCATTTTATCCAGCCAACTTGAACTTCTCTCTACTGATACAGAGCTTATGGTTTCAAGAGTGTCACCTGACATGTTGCATACATGTAACTCTTTTACAAATGTCAAAAACAAAAGTTCAATTTCAATCTCTTCTTTGAGAGAGTTGAAGAGATCTTCTACTTTTTCATGTGTATATATATTTTCTGACAATTCTGAAGCATATTTGCGAAGTGGAAACCAAAAGAAAGTACCATCATAGTGTCCTTTTTCCACTGTTTTTTCACTGATTTCAAACAAGCCATAAAGTGGCTCTAGCCCTCTTTTGCCACATATTTCCTGGTCTGTAAAGTCTTTTATTGTATTGAAGGGGCACATTGTATTAGGGTCTATCTGTTCACGCAATGGGTCAATAAAAAGGATATTTTCGCCACTTATCACGCACACAAAATCTGAAAAAGTTGCAAATTATCATTATCAGATGTTAGATCTAAAATTTGATAGATGTCTTCCTATAATAGAAACTCATTATATGACAATACAATGGTCAAGTGCTTATATAATAGATTTTAAATACCTATGGATCAATTGCAATATCTCTTAGGTATTTGAAAATGACCAAAAAAAATAAGCAACAATACAAATGAGTATATTACAATTAATAAAGAGATGCAATGGAGGGACTGTCTATTAATGCGGTCACTTTTCGTCGCTATGATAAAATTTTTAATTAAAAACAGACGTCTACAATCTATCTTAACGTTAGATATTTTATTTCAATTAATTATTTTATTACCTGTTATGTGAAAGACAGACTTGAATCCAATCCCAAACTTCCCAACTTTAAGTGGATCGTCTTGTTTGTTGCTCTTCCTGACCATTGTGATTCCATCCCAGTCCTCATTAGTAAAAACCGAGTCATTGTAAAAGCATAGAGCAGGACCCTGAAACGTGATGCTGAATATGCATACATGTACAGGTTAAATGATGTCAATCCATGCTCATAAGCTTACATTATTCATCCAAATGGTTGCATGGAAAGAAAATATCCATTATGTACACATCAAATCTATACTTCTTTGTGACAGAAATTTTACATATATCATGTATATGATCGAGGAACATGAATGACAGTTTGATAGACATACAGAAATATCAATTCAAGGGGTCAAAGGAACCACAATGCTAAGTTGTTTCATTTACCCTTGACTCTGTAAATTTCCAAATACGAGTAAGCTTAACCTGCCATTGAAGCCACACTCTACCTTTTAGGGGAAAATCTTAAATCTACACTAAATATTAAGGCTGGTATGTAAAAAGAGTACTCCTACAGTATAAATTCTCCAAAGTTTCTGATTGCGGTTTTTAGATCATCAGGCTTAAAACAATCACTGGTGAAAAAATAAAATCGAAAAAGTATAAAGAGCATTTAAAAATATTAATATAACAAAGTCTGAAAATATGTGCTTATATATGACAGATATAAACATACATCAAACCAATAAAGGATCAACATATAATTATAATGATTGCAATCAGACAATAAACCGAGGGTTTTTCTTTCTATACGTTTAATATAACATCCCAGCTGATAGGTTTATTCTGAAAGGATCGGGTAGATGATAATACATGTATAACATTCCTACCGATAGGTATTTTCTGTAAGGTTCGGGTAGTTGGTCTGCATTCGATGAAGGACAAAACCCCATTTTAACCAGGGATGCTCCTGAATCTTCAGCATTTTGTAGCAGTTCCTGAAATAATTAATATTCAACATAAGTCATTTTTTAAAAAAGAAATTAAACTGAAATACAATACACTGTATTTACATAATAACTAAATATAAGTGTATGCTAAATATAATGTATTGGAAACCTATGAAAGATCAGAATGATTAACATGTCCTTGTATCAAGGAAAAGAACAAGAGTGATCAAAATGTTCGTGAAGTCTCTTTATTTACAAGACCACAATTTAAATCAGAATAGATAGTCAACTCATTTCTTTAAATAGCAGATGTCATGTTTTGATCCGTGTTTGTGATGTCAGAATGTGTATCGATATGAAGATAATTTGTGACAAATGTGGTTAAATCAGTCGTACTCGAGTATAAACAGCTGTGAACTTTAACGAGGCTGGGGGGTGGCAGCCATTTTCAGACTATTTCTATCTCCTTTAAAAGAAGAGCTCCATATAAAGATATAGAAAATGGTCAAATTTTAAAAATATTTTTTTTTAAATATTTCTTTGCCAAATGATAGTTGACAAAAATAATTTGTAATTTGTGATTATTTTTTTGACCTCCCAGCCTCCTTAACGGTTTATAAGGAAATTTCTTACAAAGAAAAATAATTTGTAAACGGTTTATAAGTTCAATCATAAATTGGATTAATTATTTTGGTGAAGGGCAAGAGATGGTTAAATATGATATTTGTTTTGTTGCCCAGTGAAAGAAAGTCGAAAAAGAGATGTGTACTTATTTTAGCAATTTGTTACTGTATGAAAGATCACCAATTTACAGTTGAATATCGTAATAATAATAGAAGTATTTCAGGTTTACCTAAACAAAATCGTTTAAACGTATATGATATGATATATAGAGGCGCCATACTTATCCACATTTGAAAAACAACGATTTCAAGATAGAATCGTGGAAGTCAATATGCTTCTTTTAGGAAAGATTATCCTAATTAAAACCATCCTATTTCCGTGATATGGCCATTTCTCACAAATGGATTGTTCTTTTTTTTTTTTTAAATAAAACAACTAATAAAGACTCATCTTTAATTTCCTGAATGTCACGTGACCGCCTGATCCAAATGATTCGCACATGAGCAGAACAGTGGCAGATAAGAATTAAAATTGGAGAGGACTTCTTTTTAAAAAAAAAAGTTGTGAATACTGAAACTTAATTTTGTTTTTTTTATTGAAGTACATGTAATTCAATTGGTTTGCTAACTTTTTTATCAGCCCTCGTATGTTTCATCAGGTACAACTAGAGTAGAAATATGCATGTAGATACTATAATAAAAAATCCTATTCAAGTTGTAGATACATGTAATTAAGAAGATATTTTATTCGGATATTACCTTGATAATTTGTTCATTGTCTGGATATTCATGAAGAATACTTTGGAGCTCCTCAAGAAGCGTGTTCCTTTTGAACGCCTTATATTTCACCTTCGGGGGCATCTTTATAACCTTTAAAGTAAAAAAAAAATATTTATCTCTTTATAAGCTTTAATTTCCAATTATCGTGGGCAAACTCAAGTGAATGTCGCACAGATCTATGTGTCATACAAACTAATTAACACAATAATTTGATCTGATGAGTCAGTGGGTGCTAATCAACAAATTAAAATGGACATGCTTGTCCACTAAACGCCCTTTTCTACGTTCCTTTTCCTGTTTTTTTCATCAGATTCCAATGTATCATTAGAATTTTATTTACATACATTGCATTATAGTCAAGGAGTTGTAAATATTTATTCAGCAAAGAAAAAATTCAAAACTTCTAACACATTGTAAGAGAACTAATTTTAATTTATCCATTGTATTCAAACGCCTCATTTAGTCACTTCACCAACGGTAAATCCACCACCTAATGCTACTGTTTTTCCTGATATTCTTTAGTTTATCAAATAAAATATACAACATGACTAGTATATTTTATTTGATGAAAAAAAGTATATCAGGAAAAACACTACTGATCTCTTAGTTTTCATGATTTAACAAATCTGGAAGATTTCCAAATATGGAAGTCACGAACGATATACCCCCCCCCCCCCGGGTCCGACGTTTATGTATGTCATGTCGTATATCAAATACGCAAACTCTATCCACTATACGACTTTAGTTTCTAAATGACATGTGTAAACAGCCTTGGGAATTTTCCCTGTTGTGCTATGCGTCACCAAACATCTAACATGGACTGTGATTGGTTGATTTTCACTTCAGTGAAAATATTTAATTGTGAGTAGAAATGGCCAGTGTCATATTTTTAATGAAGTAAAAAAAACTTTTACAGGAGTAAAATGAATTAATTGTGGGTTAAATGGCCACATTGTATTTTTACTCCAGTAGAGAAGTAAATTATTTTTACTGGAGTAAAAATAATTTTACTGAAGTAAAAATAATTTTACTGGAGTAAAAATATTTAATTGTGAGTAGTAATGGCCAGTGTTTTATTTTTACTGCAGTAAAAATAATTTTAGTGGAGTAAAAATAAATAATTGTGAGTAGAACGGCCAACTATAGGCGTAAGATGTAGTCAATTATATTGTTGACACTATACTCCTAAAACAGTAGAGCTTTTTAAAAAAGCTTCCCGTCTTTAGCAACAATCTTAAACAGTAAACTGATCTACACCTATCAAGCCGCATAATTCTTTTGAATTTTGTATTTCTACATTAGCCTTTTACTGGCATTATCTACCACGGTTGTCCGTAAACTTTGACTGGCCGAGAACTTTCGGCAAACCTAAAAACAAGAAAGGGGAAAAGAATAATTACAAATTGTGAAGCCTGCAAGCTATAAAAATCAAATTTTATTCCTAATGAAATTAAAAAGACCTTTTTATCTATTGCTATAAAAAAATACCATGTTATTAAGAATTAACAACTGCTGAATTTGCTGTTCGTTTTGTTATTTTTTTAAGATTCGAAATCTTGCAAAATTGTTAAGTCGTACGAAAATTAGATCATCAGAAAGTTATCTCCCTTGCCTTGAACAGCATTTCAACCAATGAAATAATTGAACATTTTCTCATCATGCAATTTCTACCAATCACAAAAGAGAGGAAGTACATAGTCCGAAGACTGTAAAAAACTTCAACTATACAATACCGTCTTCCAAGGAAGACGGTAACAAAAAGTCATATCGGCATAGATAAAAATAAAAGAAAATAAAACAATTATAATTTATCGCGCTTTGTTTTGTTAAAAATCTTAGGCACCCTATGAACAGACAGCACATGTAAATTCTTTATACATAAATGTAAGAGAGTAAAAATATGTAGATTCGTCATTTGAATATAGACAGCTGCTTGTAACAGGAAAACACTCCTGTAAAGTCTACATATTTTTTCGATGAAACTATGCATCTACAGGGTGTTTCATAATATATGTCACACATCTAAATGGGCAAAAAAAACACTATAGTAAGCAAATGATATTGCAAATTAGCGCTAATATTATAATATACCATGAAGTAACTTAATATATAATCAATGATGTCATAATTTCAGCTATTCTTAAAATGGCGTACAACTTGCAGCAAAAATATGTTGTAAACGTGAATTACATGTATAAGAGCGACATCTTAAATATTGTACAGCGTGTGATGATGAAAAATATCCAGACCAGAATTTGCCGTCTAGTTTTCATATATTAAGAATAATTAGAAAGTTTGAACTAAATTACTAGTATATTGTTAAGAGGAAAGACAGTTAATTCAAACTCCCCTACCCCCCCCATCCCCCCCCCCCAATCAAGAAGAGATGAGAACATTATCAAAGTGAATCAATCATGAAAGTCAGATCTGAGTTTAGGCATATGGATGGTAACAATACTGGTAAGTGTATCAAGTGTATTTAAAAATCTTAAATTTGAATTGAGTGTGTCTACATATAAAACTCTAGCATTTAAAACCAATTGATGTTCAGAGCCGGTTAAAGTTTGCAAGATTGATTGAAAGGAAGAGCGAAAGAACTATTTAAATGCAACTTTAGATAAAAATAGATATGCACTTTGTGGGTTCTAAAAAGCCAGACATAAAAAAAGAAAAGTCTCAACTATCCTGTGAAACTTACAAAACAGTGGTCAGAATATCTGAGCCTGTCAGATCGAGTCTCCTAGGTTATTTGGGTCAATGTCGGGAAAACGCTTGAAGATTAACATTTTAATATTGGTTGCCATAGTAACTGAAATGGAGAATGTTGGATTCTTCTGACTCAAAATGATAATATTGAATATCTCTTGATAAAAATGATATATAAATGTATATTTAGCTTTTGTTGTTATTTATCTATCTTTATTTAGATGTGTGACATATACTGTATTGTGAAACACTCTGTACATGCCGTTATCTTAAATATAAAGATAATTAGTGGTTCTTGAGAGAAAGATTTTAAAAGATACTTTTCAATGTATTTCATTGTTAAATTTTGATTTTCTATAGTGTCGCCACCCTACCCTTCTGGGGCATGATTAAAAAAAAAATAAAATCAACACTTCTCCAAGGAAGCTTAACCGGTCACGGTAGCCTAGTGGTAGAGCGTTCGCTTCGTGATCGGGAGGCCCGGGTTCGATTCTCGTTCGCGGCGCTGCGTCATACTTAAGACGTAAACAAAGGTAGTGACTGTTCCTTCGCCAAGCGCTCGGCACTAGAAGTGAAAGTCACGGGTCTTTCGGATATGACCTTAAAAACGTAGGTCCCGTGTCACGGTAGGCGCTGGCACGATAAAGAACCCTCACTGCTCAATGGCCCTGAGTGCCCATAATAGGTCTAAATTTGAAGCCCTTCACCGGCATACGGTGACGTCTCCATATGAGTGAAAAATTCTCAAGAGGGACGTTAAACAATATACAATCAATCAATCCAAGGAAGCTTCAACATTTCTGCTTTCTTCCTTCAGTGGTTCATGAAAAGAAGTTTTTTGTCCACGTCCTAAATTTGCCTTTTCTTAATTAGATCCCCTTTAGAGGAAGCCTTGCCTTCATTTTGACGATTTACATTTCCCTTTTTCCAGGAATGCTCTCTGCCAACATTGTTTAAAATTGACCTGTGGTTCTTAAGAAAAGGTTGAAAATGTGAATAGTTCTCAGAAAAACAGACAGACAGACCAAAAGATGCCGTACCCTGGCCGATCAGTGTAGCTCAATTTATCTGAGTGAATTGAAAAAAAATGTTTTTTCTAAACTCCTACCGCCACCATTCATGGTTTCCCAATTTAAAACATTTTTCATAAAAATTAAATGAAAGATATGCATTATCATATACAGGTATGCTTAGTAAAGTATACTAGTAATTTATCATTAAGAACTACGAACTCTAACTCTTGATTTCCGCCTACATTTTACACCCATTAAATTCAATATTAATGGCAATTTGGCCATTAAATCTTTGTTTAATACAAAGAACAGTTCTATGGTAATTGATTAATCATTTTAATCCCAGCGATAGATAGTAAATTATCATTAATTCTAGCTCTTGAAAAAGGGGGTAGCCGACATTTTGTAGTGAAATCGAACTTTCAAGAATCACCATATTTTGAAATAGTTTTAAATATGATAAAATGTATCTCATATCTTTTCTTATGTTTTACGCAATTAAATAAAACACATATAAATTAATAAAATACAATTATTTAGTTGTTAATAGCTTTCAAATTGGTGAAAAATTGCATTTTTTTCGTTTTTTGTCTATAAACATATGTCCCCCCCCCCCCGTGAAACACAAAAAGCTTGGGCATAAATTTGTTAAATGACAGTCTATATTACCTGTAAAAAGGAATTTTTGTTTCACGGGGGGGGGGAAAGATATTTTAAAAATATTTTCCGTTTTCCGTTGATTTCTATGGTGAAAAACACAAGTTTTACCAAAATTATAGAGGTATCTCTCTTTGGTATCCCAAATAAGTAACGTTTTATGAAAATTCATATCAATATCTATAAAGTTTGTGAAAATCATTCGAATATGTTAACTTTTTAGAATTGACTTAGAGGTAGGCGGGAGAACAATACTATCGTTCGTAGTTCTTTGTCATTTATACAGCTTGATTAGACACTGGCTCCGCTGCAACAGATCCACCACCTAATACTATTGATCGTGTCGTTTTCTGAAGTACACAAAATACACACGATACATAACCTCATGTCATATAATTATAACAAACCTCGCTCTCTGAAAAAAAAACTTTCATCATGTGCATTGTTTCAAATTATTACGTATAAATTTACATGACGTGGCATACTTCTATTCACCTTTTAGGCAATAAAGGGGTTCTGTAAATAAACAAAGCATCATCAATCGAAAGACGCATAACTTGTACTTACAACTGATGTCCCGAGATTCAATTGTATAGTTGCCTATTTGAAAATATCAAAGATATAGATAAAAAAGTAAAACAATAACAATTTATCGCAATTTTTTGTTTGTTAAAATTCTAAGGCACCTGTGAACATTAAGAATACAAAAATATTTAAGAAAACGACAGTTAATTTGTTATCATAATACAAAAAACAAATTGTGATTAGAAAAGCCAACTTAAGCTCAAGTGACCAAAGAAAAATTATGGTTTCCTCCCTGATGGTGTAATCTTAACTTTTACGAGGGGCTATCAAAAAGTTCGTGCACAAGCGCCATAAAATTAAAACCGCTTTAGGTACATCAATGAATTCTAAAATATCTAATCATAAGCATCTTTTCTATCTATGGAATAAACCACAAATCATCAATTTTATTTTTAATAAATTGGTAATGTTTTTGTAAGCAATTGTATGTCCACGCGGCGCAACCTGAAAAACGACGTTTTTCGACCGAAGTGTAACTAATTAAAACTGTTTTGATATTAACATTTGACATCCGAAAATCGGCCCGCTAATTCTGGTATGTATTGGGACACTATTGTTCCATAAAATATGGAATTTTTGCCTCATTCTGGAAGTTCTTCATGAAATTCTATCGAAAATATTACATGGAGTATCTAAACAAATATTGCCTTGAAAATGGTGCCGAAAGGGGGGGGGGTCCTTTTCCAACATTCTATAAATGTTTGCCCCTGGAAAAACTTATATACACGTCGTAAATGTTTAAATTGGCTACGGAGAAGTAATATGCATCCAGCTTACTAGTTTCAAATGCCAAAATAGATTCAGAGAGATGGGGATGCACAATTTAAGTTGATTTGTAGTAAAGGGGTGAAAAATCAATTACGTCAAATAATGACGTTGATCATGTGTTTTAGCTATATTGAAATCCAAAAAGCAAAGTATGCTGGCAAAATTAAGCGATGATCTCTCCAAATGTATAAATCCATTTTCAATATCATATGCATTTAAAGCCGCTGTTCAAGACATTGTAAAGTCATATGCACAAGACGGGTTGAAGGACTTACTCAGCTTTAGGGAATCTCATAAAAAAAAATGTACGAGGCAGAAGAGGTGGACTTCGAAAAATATTGACGTCGTCGGATGCCATGATACTGAACGGCGACGGCGCCAGGTAATGATATAATGCCGTTTTTATTTTTTAATAATTTGGGAAATAATGATCGTAAGAAGCTAAAATTTTCAACATTTCTTTATTTTTTGTTAGATTATGTTCCTTATAAATTTTGTAAGCATAGACTATAAAGTACTAATTTTATAGCCTCAGTACACGAACTTTTTGATAACCCCTCGTATATTAAGAGATTTTTTAGCTATCAGTAAATATGCAAGCATGAGTTTGAAAAGTTATAAATTATACATTTTTTAACGAACCAAGAATCAGACTGATGGTCACCGGACATCTGGTGATCACAAAAGCTCACTTAAGCTTTCAGAACATGTGGGGTTAAAAAAAAACATAAAAATCTTATCACGCCCTACCCAACCCTCATGAATTTTCCATTTCAAACATGATTAATATAAATTATAGTAACGGCATGTACAATAAATATGCTAAATAAATTCTAATTCCAAAACTGTTAAATAATTATACATTTACTTACTACAAAAATTTAACTGTCATTTCAAAAGCTCGTTTAGTCATCCCACCTACACTATACAGCAGATCCACCGGCTTATGTTGTTGAACGTAAAGATTTCAGGAAATACACAAAATGTAAATATTACATAACTCTACTTATCTACAAAAGAACCCCACTTGACGTCCTTCATGTACATTTTCAAAACAATATGTTTTAGTACCAGACATGACATATTTTTGTTCACCTTCTGGACGATAAACGGATTCCTTCTGTAAATGTCGAACGAAAACTAAAGAAACAACTTTCAACAAACTAACGCATCATCAAGCAAAACCATATTGCTTGTACTTACAATTGTTGTCACGAGATCAAAATTGATTACAAAATGACAATCCTTCGCTGATTCAGTAGAAAAAATACTCTGTTCAAGCACAATCTAATATGGTTCGATCGTGTAATGAATGTGTGAGCACGATTTCCAAGAATATTCCAGAAATTGTTTCGCTTCAATTGTCAATCAAGTTGGGCATGCGTCTGACGAGTAAGAACGGCAACTCTACATTGGAGATTGATTTCTGTTCATGTCAAACTTACTGCAATCAATTTTATAGGTGTAAGATATATTAAGAGATTTTTTTTTAGCTATCAGTAAATATGCAAGCATGAGTTTGAAAAGTTATAAATTAAACATTTTGTAACGAACCAAGAATCAGACTGAAGGTCACCGGACATCTGGTGACCCCAAAAGCTCACTTAAGCTTTCAGAACATGTGGGGTTAAAAAAACATAAAAATCTTATCAAGCCCTACCCAACCCTCATGAATTTTCCATTTCAAGCATGATTAATATGAATTATAGTAAAGGCATGTACAATAAATATGCTAAATAAATTCTTATTCAAAATCTGTTAAATAACTATACATGTACTTACTACAACAATTTAAATGTCATTTCAAAAGCTCGTTTAGTAATGTCAATCAATTTGGGCATGCGTCTGAAGGGTAAGAACGGCAACTCTACATTGGAGATTGATTTCTGTTCATGTCAAACTTACTGCAATCAATTTTAAAGGTGTAAGATACATATTAATATTACTAAGTTTTATTACTTATTAATTTTTTAAACATATTCAATTATAGTGTTTACATTAAACTCTTAAACAAAAAGTCATGTCCGCATAGATAAAAAGAAAAAAATATAACAATTACATGATTTATCTCGTTTTGTGTAATTATAAATCTAAGGCTCCCTTTGAACAGACAGTACATGTAAACTGTTTATACATAACTGGAGTATGTAGATTAGTTATTTTAATATAGACAGCTGCTTGTAACACATTGGCGTCGGAAGGAAATTGAAAGGGGGGGGGGCTAAGTGGGGGGTAGGTTTGAATTTCAGTACCAAAATTTTTTTCCAAATTCCACCACTTTCCCAATTCTTAACCTATACTGCGACGTGTCTGTGGAAAGTGGGCGATTAAACTTACGATTGAATGTTCAATGTCTATACTAAGTATATATTAGGGGAAAAGTGGGGGGGGGGGGGGCTAATCCCCCCTAGCCCCCCCCTCTTCCGGTTCCGACTTCTATGTAACAGGAATACACTCGTGTAAAGGCTATATATTTTTCCGATGAAACCAAGATTCTCTATGTTTTTATCTTGAATAATTATGAGTAGAATGAGTGGTTCTTAACAGGAACATTTTAAAGAATACTTTTCAATGTATTTTATTATAAAATTTTGGTTCTCTATTGTGTCGCCACCCTCCTCTTTAAGGGCATTATTTAAAAAAAAATAGAATCAATATTTCTCCCAGGAAACGTCCATATTTCTGCTTTCTTCCATCTGTTGTTCTTCAAAAGACATTCTTTGTCCTCATCCTACTTTTGCCTTTTATTAATTACATCCCCTTTAGAGGAGTTTTGGCTTTCATTTTGACGAATTACAGTTCCCTTTATCCAGGAACACTATGTTCGCTCATTGTATAAGATTGGCCCAGACAATGGTTCTTTAGAAAAAGCTGAAAATTTGAATATTTCTCAGACGAAGAAACAGACAGACCAACGGACGAAGTACCCCTGCCGATCAGAGAAGCTCATTTTAGCTAAAAGAATTGTAAAAAATATTTTTTTTTTCTAAAATCCTACCGCCACCTTTCATGGTTTCCTAATCTAAAACATTTGTAATAACTATTACATTAAAGACATGTATTCTCATATATGTTTAGTAAAGTATACTAGTCTAGCAATTTCGAAAACTACTAGACTACAGTTGTCATTTATACAGATTGATTAGACACTTGCTCCAATAGATCCACCACCTACTACTATTGATCGTAGAGTTTTCCTGAAGGACAAAAAATACACACATTACATAACTTCATGTTATATAATCATAGCTAACCTCGCTCTCTGTTAAAAAAATAACTTTCATTATGTGCAGTATTTTAAATTACTGCGTATAAATTAACTAGTCGTGGTATATTTCTATCCACGTTTTAGGCAACAAAAGGGTTCTATAAATGTAAATCCAAAAAACAGAAACTTTAAACAAAGCATCATCAAACGAAAGACGCATAACTTGTACTTTCAATTCATGTCCCGAGATCAATGACGAAAAAATGACAACCCTATGCTAAGTGAAAGAAACAATGACTTGCAGAAACTTATCTGTCAGCTGTACAAGCACTTTCTAGCATGGCTCATAATTTGTGAGTACCATCTTTAAGACTTTTTTAAGAAATCGTTACGCTTCTTTCGTCAATTAATTTGGGCATGTGTCTGAGAGAAAAGAACAGCAACTCTACAGTGGAGATTGCTGCGTATCAAACGCTATGGGTGCATTCATTTTTGATACATGTAGGTACGTATATTTAAATTTTAAAACTGTTTTGTCATATTCAGTTATATTGTTAGCATTATAACATGGTTAACATTTCAAAATATCAAAAACATAGATAAAAAAGTAAAACAAAAATAATTTATGGCATTTTTTTGTTTGTTAAAATTCGTAGGCACCTGTGAACATACTTTAATTGCAGCACAAGCAAATTTTAAAATAAAAAATACTTGAGAAAACGACAGTTAATTTGTTATCAGAATAAAAAAAAAAAAATGTGATCTGAAAAGCCAACTAAGCTCAAGTGACCAAAGAAAAATTACAGTTTCCTCCCTTATGGTATAATCTTAACTTTTATATTTAGAGATTTTTTTTAGCTATGAGTAAATATGCAAGCATGAGTTTGAAAAGTTATAAATTAAAAACTTTTTAAAAAAACATAAAAATCTTATCAACCCTACCCAACCCTCATGAATTTTCCATTACAAACATGATTAATATAAATTATAGTAACGGCATGTACAATAAATATGCTAAATAAATTCTAATTCCAAATCTGTTAAATAATTATACATGTACTTACTACAAAAATTTAACTGTCATTTCAAAAGCTCGTTTAGTCATCCCACCTACACTATACAGCAGATCCACCGGCTTATGTTGTTGAACGTTTTTTTAAAGATTTATATAAATACACAAAATGTAAATATTAACATTTGGTACATAAAACTTTATTTTCAAATGAAATTTCAATATTAATTTTAATATCATATGCTAATTGGTTAAATCCCCATGAAGTTCAGAGCTGTGACGTCCTTCATGTACATTTTCAAAACAATATGTTTTAGTACCAGACATGACATATTTTTGTTGTAGTTAAAACACTCTCTTTCTGGACGATAAACAGGAATTGTTTTTTTTTTTAAATTAACACATTAACATGTTTTAATATGTCGATTTTTTTTAATGGGTAGAAAACTAAACAAAAAAACCTTTTTATTACTTTTTAAAATTGTCAACAAACTAACGCTTCATCAAGCAAAATCATATTACTTGTACTTACAATTGTTGTCTTTTACGATTCTGATCAAAATTAGATTACAAAATGACAATCCTTTATTCGCTGATTCCAATATGCTTCTTTATCCAATTTTTTGAAAAATTTTACTTTATGTTCAAGCACAATCTAATATGGTTCGATCATGGAATAAATGTGTGAGCACAATTTCCAAGAATATTCTAGAAATTGTTTCGCTTCAATTGTCAATCAATTTGGGCATGCGTCTGAAGGGTAAGAATGGTAACTCTACATTGGAGATTGATTTCTGTTCATGTCAAACTTACTGCAATCAATTTTAAATGTGTCAGATACATATTAATATTACTAAGTTTTATTACTTATTAATTTTGTTTTTACATATTCAATTATAGTTTTTACATTAAACTCTGAAACAAAAAGTCATGTCTGCATAGATAAAAAGAAAAAAATATAACAATTATATAATTTATCTCGTTTTGTGTTATAATAAATCTAAGGTTCCCTTTGAACAGACAGTACATGTAAACTGTTTATACATAACTGGAGTATGTAGATTAGTTATTTTAATATAGACAGCTGCTTGTAACACATTGGCGTCGGAAGGAAATTGAAAGTGGGGGAACGTTTGAATTTCAGTACCAAATTTTTTTTCCCAAACTCCCCCACTTTCCCCATTCTTAACCTATACTGCGACGTGTCTGTGGTAAGTGGGCGGCTTAACTTACGATTGAATGTTCAATGTCTATACTAAGTATATATCGGGAAAAAAAGTGCCCCCTAAGCCCCCTAGCCTCCCTCCCTTCCCCGGTTCCGACGCATATGTAACAGGAAAACACTCGTGTAAAGGCTATATATTTTTCCGATGAAACCAAGATTCTCTCTGTTCTTATCTTGAATAATTATAAGTATAATGAGTGGTTCTTAACAGGAACATTTTAAAGAATACTTTTCAATGTACCGTATAAGTGGAAATTTTAGCGAGTCGCAAATTTAACGATTTCTACCCAAAATATTGTATTTTATTTTTGGTGAGAAGTTATCTTAGCGATTTTAAAATGCTTACTATAGTAGCTATTACAAATAATTCGCAATTAATTTTTAGCGATATTCAATTTTAGCGGTGTCAGCACCCTCGCTAAAAATGCCAAAATTAAATCCTTGCTAAGAATTCTACTTATACGGTATTTAATTGTAAAATTGTGATTCCCTATTGTGTCGCCATCCTCCTCTTTAAGGGCATTATAAAAAAAATAGAATCAATATCTCTCCCAGGAACGTCCATATTTCTGCTTTCTTCCTTCAGTTGTTCTTGAAAAGACATTCTTTGTCCTCATCCTACTTTTGCCTTTTATTAATTACATCCCCTTTAGAGGAGGTTTGGCCTTCATTTTGACGATTTACAGTTCCCCTTAACCAGGAACACTATGTTCCCTCATTGGATAAGACTGGTCCAGACAGTGGTTCTTTAGAAAAATTAAGCTGAAAATATGAATATTTCTCAGACGAACAAACAGACAGACCAACGGACGCGCCGTACCCCTGCCGATCAGAGAAGCTCATTTTAGCTAAGTGAATTAAAAAAAACATTTTTTTCTAAAATCCTACCGCCACCTTTCATGGTTTCCTAATCTAAAACATTTGTAATATTTCTCATATATGCTTAGTAAAGTATACTAGCAATTACAAAAACTACGAGACTACAGTTGTCATTTATACAACTTGATTAGACACTGCTCCAGTAGATCCACCATCTACTGCTATTGATCGTATAGCTTTCCGGAAGTAAAAAAATACACACATTACATAACTTCATGTTATATAATCATAACAAACCCCGCTCTCTAAAAAATAACTTTCATTATTTCAAATTTTTTACGTATAAATGTGCTTGCATATTTCTATTCACCTTTTAGGCAATAAAGGGGTTCTGTAAATGTAAATCAAAAAAAAAAAACAGAAACTTTAAACAAAGCATCATCAAGCTAAAGACGCA